TTAGTTGGTCTGAAAGTAGGTCCAGGTGCACAGGGGGCACTCCAAAACTCAGACAAAAACTAACGGGGGGGGGTCAAGTTCAGGTGATCTGAGAACTAGTCGCTCCTAAAGCAGATTTAGGGCTGTTGGTTCAATTAAAAGAGACGTGTCTTTAGAATTATTGGCATTAAATAGACTTTTCTTCTTCTTGTGTTGACCAGAAGTCAAATAAATTCATGTTACCTCCTGAAAAATTTGTCAGGAAAAAAAAAAGGTATGAGGAGCGGGAATGTATTTTTTGTTTAGGGAGAAGAAAGTGGTTTGTCCTAAGTGAGGCTGGTTGTTTGGAGACAGACTTAGTGATGAGGGAGCAGAAGGCAAGCTGAGGGCAAAGCACAGGGTGACACCCCACAAGCCCTCCCCCCAACTCCCTGGTGGGATCTGTGTGGTGTTTCTCAGGCACTCCTGCCCGCCCAAAAGCTAAGGAAAGGAAAAACAAACGGTCAACGTAGAGATTACAGTCCTGCAAGACCTGAGTCTCCCTCAGTTTACAAAGGTTTTAGTGATTTACAAGAAAAAAGCATTCTTATCAATAACCTAACTTCCAGAAGGAAATGTAGAGAAAACTAAATGAACTAAATGTCCTTGTAATCTCCAGCCCATTGAGAAGTACTTGAGGTGGGCAGAGTATAATGTCCCTCCTGTTTTAATGTTAATGCCTCCCTAGAGGGAAAAACCACCTTAACTTGACAATAGCAAGGTCTCCAGTATCTTGTAGGTGGTCTTTAGCCTATAAAAGTTCTTTTGTAAACCTCCTTTATTCCTTACCCCCAACTCCCAAGTATATAATCAGTCACCCCTCACAACCCAGGGGAAGCAGTTCTGCCCGAGGGTCCTGTCCCTGTGCTTTAATAAAATCGCCATCTTGCACCAAAGACGTCTCAAGAATTCTTTCTTGGCCGTTGGCTCTGGACCTCACCCCACCGAACCTCACCCACATTCTAAAACTACAGCACTAGGACAATATCTAGATATAAATAGGAAAGTTTGAAAGGCTTATGGAAAAGGAATCTTTGGAAGGGCGTGCCTGTGTGGTCAGTACTGGCTAAAACAAGATCAATTAAGCAAGTCAAGAGGGTTCAGTGGTGCTGCGTTTTCTCTGTTAAAAGAAGAAAGTTTTCCGGAACTGTTGGTCTGCTCTTCATGAAAAATTATAAACGAAAGTTTTTCTTTTCCTTGAAAGTTATCCCCCCTTCCCTCATACAAAGGATTCTATGTTTTGGCAATATAATTTCCTCTGTTTACCACGTCTTTGATAACTTAAGGAAACTGAGTCTCAACATTAGAAGAGCTACACTGTGCTCCCAACTATGGAAAGGTCTTGCATTTGCCTTTGACATCTTTATTGTCACTGTGGTGAAATGAACATGTGATATGGGTTCATAATGACTTGTAATTCTACTTAATCAAATGTTCAAACCTTCCAATGTTTTGTTTGGAAATACTTCCTAAAATCAAGTTCTAAAATAAAGTCTTTGCCGGGGCACCTGGCTGGCTCAGTCGGGAGAGCACGTGACTCTTGATCTCAGGGTTGTGAGATCGAACCCAGGGCGGGGCGGGGGGCTTACTTAAATAAATAGGGGCACCTGAGTGGTTCAGGCGGTGATGAGGTGAAGCGTCTGCCTTTGGCTCAGGTCATGATCTTGGGGTCCTGGGATCAAGCCCCATGGCAGGCTCCCAGCTTCCCCCCCTCCCCACGCCGCCCCACTGCTTGTGCGTGCACATTCTCTCTCAAATAAATACATAAAATCTTTAAAAATGTAAAGTTACAACCCAATATAGTTCTTAAAAAAAATGAAATAAAGTATTTTGATTCCAATCTAACTGAAATCTTCCAGAGAGCTCCTGGAGCATTTCAAAGATTTTTTGAGAAATTAACCTAATCAGGCATATTTGGTATGTTAAAATACATGGAAGTATCATTGAACAGGTGATATTAGACACCCTGAGAATGTATTTATGTAGATATGTCATTAGAACAAATGTTTTAAAAATTGCATGAAACTCAGAAGTCTGATGTCCTGGGATGTTATTATCTTGAAGTGTTGTGTGTCACAGAAATAACCAAATTCCTTCATTGTGTTGTCCTGAGCGCTCCTCAGATCTGTAATCAAGGGCATTTGTACGCCTTTCTGTCATCCCTACTTTTACTCAGATGCTTTTATAAAAGCCTCCTGCAACCCTGTTTCATCTTCCACTAGAACAAGTTTCTACATGAAGATCATAAAACCGAGCTGGGTAAAAATTTCCAGAACTAGTGAAAAAACTGTATCTAAGCAGAACAAGAATCAATTACCTGGGACTGAATGAACTAAGGAGGAGCATTCTAATTTTTATGACTTTTTGCTGACTTTTAAAAAGTGTTTTGTTTTTCCAGACTGAAGACAACTTTTTATCTTCAGCCGACTTAGGGCAAGTTGATAACATATTCCTTTGTGAACAAATGAAACATTTACCTTTTCTCCGCACCTGCACCCTCCAGAGCTCAGAAACTCAGCGAGCCTATTTATGTGCATAAGTTCACCAAGATTCTGTTCCCTTTGTAACAGGACACAGGTGGAAATTTGGTTAGGATGCTGCACTTACGTCAATAATCAGGTCGGGTTTCCTCAAAACTAAACTTACTTTGTCAACAAATTAATGTCAATCGGAGTATCTCTGGTAAAAATGAGGGTGATTATAGATTGTAGAAATTTGCTCCTAACACTGTTCATCGTAAACTGGACTGGACTGATTTCCTGAGGAATCCTCCGCCGCCTGGCTACAATTCTGAACACTGTTTTCTCACCTTTCTGAATTAGAATCATTTCAGGATAAAAACTGCCCTTTTTCCAGAAGCCCTGCAGACTGAACACAAGCAACCTTGATTAAAACAATAATAATGATGGTATGCCAGAAATAATATCCTTTGCAACCGCTTACATTTATGATGGAGTTAAACATCCACTTTAAGTGTGGAAGGTATTTTTCACAATTCTTGACCACTGCCTTAAAAACAGCCCTGTTTCTGGGAAAGGGAAGGTGAGGCAGGGGTCAGGTGCACAGACCATCGCATCACTGAGTCCCTTTCCCATTTCCCACTGTGCTTTTCTTGGACCCTCGAGTCTGCTTTGGGGCTCCTCCGGCCGCTCTCATGGGGGGGGTTCTCCAAGCGATGGCACTTGCTAGAAGGTCCCATATGGAGAGGGAAAACCAGGTTGCAGGAAGAAACATGTTTCCTTAAACATTTCCCGGTAATTGCCTATCGAGAGTTCGGAAGGCTTATTTAAAAAAATGTGTAGGGGCGCCTGGGTGGCTCAGTCATTCGTTAAGCGTCTGCCTTCGGCTCAGGTCGTGATCCCGGGGTCCTGGGATGGAGCCCCGCATCGGGCTCCCTGCTCCGCGGGGGGCCTGCTTCTCCCTCTCCCACTCCCCCTGCTCATGTTCCTGCTCTCGCTGTGTCTCTCTGTCAAATAAATAAATAAAATCTTTAAAAAAAAGAAATAAAAAATAAAAAAATGTATAAGTTTTGGTGAGATTGCAGGATGTGCAATTTTGTGCCATACACAAAAATGGTCATATTTCTATACTAGCAATAAGCAATCAAATGAAATTTAGTAGCAATTATAATAACATTAAACATAGGAATATTTAGGGATATATGCGACAAAAGATGGGCAAGCCTTGCATGCTGAAAACTATGAAACTTCACCAAGAGAAAACACCTAAATAAGGGTGCAGCTCTATTTGTGGGTTGGAAGACAGGACTGGCAGCCTGTTCTGGGGAAGCTTCCCAGGAAGGGGGCCTGAGGAGCTGAGGGACGCACCAGGAGGACAGGTGTGGGGTGGGAACCTGACCTGAGGGGCTTTGCAATCTGCGTCCCTGCGGGGCGGCTGTTTCCTGTTTGTTCCCTTGCCCTACTCACCCACAGCACTGCCGCGACAGGTGGTAAGTACTTCTCGCATAAACGAGAAGAGTCAGACTGAAGGAAGGGCCAGCACCTCTGCACCCGGAGAGATGAATGCCTCTGCACGCGCGGACACAGCGGCAGCCGCAGCAGGGGTCGCAGGGCACTTGTGTGAGGCACGGACCCAGAGGCGGGGGGGGAGGGAGAGATGTCATCGTGGGAACGGGGCCCAGGTGGGTCCTGATGGGGGCTGGGGTGGGGAACCAGAGCAGGGGTCCTCAGGACTGGCTAAGGGGCACTCTGGCTTTCTCTGCTTGGTCCTGAGCTGCAGGCAGAGGCAGGGACAGGACGCGGGGAAGCCCTCGGTGCCCGAGCAGGTACTGGCCCTCTGGGGCTCACCGTTACAGGGGCTGCCCTGTGGCTTCCGGGACCAGTTGCTACAGACACTCGGCTGACTTCCTAGGAGGCTGACTCGTAGCAGGCTGGCTCTCTGGCCACTCAGCTGAGGGTCTGGACTGGCGGGTGGTCTCGGCCGGTGAGGGGCGGGTAGTCAGCGCACCCGCTGTCCCGACGCGCGTTGGCCGGCCAGCCGCGCGAGCCGGAACCGGGCTTCCCCAGACGGCTCCCCGCGCGCGGCCCCGCCCCGCTCAGTGCGCCCTCCACCGCGCCTCAGGCCCCGCCCCTTCCCGCGCCTGCGCCCACACGCCTCGCTCCTCAGAGCCCCGCCTCACGCACGCGCGTCCTGGTCCTCAGATCCTGCCCTGCGCACGCGCGCCCCGCCCGCCCCGCCCGCCGATACCGTTCCGCGCACGCGCACTGCGCTCCCTAGGCGAGCCCTTAACCCGCCCCGTGCACGCGTCGCACGCGCCGCACGCGCCCCGCGCGCCCCGCGTTCTCGCGCACGCCCAGGCCCCGCCCCGCGGCCAATTGGCAACGCCGCGGCTTTTCCGCCGCTTATCTGTCGTGCGTCCGTCGACGCGCGTCAGTCGGTCGAAACCCGCGTCTGAGCTTTTCCCGCGCCGTTGGGGCCAGCGTTCGCGCTCCGGTCCCCGCCCGCCCGCCTCCGAGGGCCCGCCCGACCCCGACCCGCTGCTGCCGCGCCGTCCCTCTGGCGCCATGTCGCAGAGCGGGACCCCCGGACTGCAGGAGGAGAACTTGCAGGGTGAGGCCGCGGGGCAGCCGGGGTGGGGTGGGCACAGAGTGCGCGGAGGACCCGCGCCGGGGCTTTGCGGCCCGGGGGCTCGCGGGCTGGGGGCTTGGCGGGCCAGAGCGGAGTTGTGGGGTTCGGTCGTGGAGGGGGTGCCGCGGGCCGGGACGCAGGGTGCATCCCACCAACAAGCCTAAGCTCCGATCCGTGACTGGCAGTCCTGCCTTGGCGTCCCAGCCCCGTGTCCGCAGGGCTTCTTAAAGGCCGTGTGTTACCCCCTCTCCGGTTCTTGGGTGTTGGTTTTAGCGAGCAGCAGCCGAGGTGGTTCAGGTTGAATCGTGTGGTCCTCAGATTTCAGCCATTACTGGTTCTGTCCGTGGGGACTGTTAGGACCTCCTTAGGAGGAGGAGAGAATGAAGGGGGTTACTGTGGTACCGGGCTCAGGTCCACCCACCGCTCTTCAGTGTAAGATAAGCAGCTTAAAAAAATGGTATCGGCAGGTAGTAGGTTTTGTTTTTTTTTTTTATTAAGTTCAGGTTCCACTTGTACTAGCCGGTCATTCCAAAACAGAGCTGGAAATTGATTTGTGGGTTAAGAAAAATACAAGCAGAGGGACACCGTCCCAGTGCATGCAGGGCTCCTGAGCAGGCGCTTGCCCCCCCCCCCGTGCCTGCTGTTTGTGCATCTGTAGACTCTCCTTTTGCATTTCCAGAGCCGGGCCCAGACCAGGCGGGCACTGCTCACTTGCACAGCCAAGTGGGCGGCAGCCTTGGGATCTGCCTCTTGGGTCTTGCCTCAGTAGGGCCGCTACCCAGGCCTTGTTCTCCGGGCCCCTTGGAGTGATCCCCAGGGCCCGGGAGAAGCCCGCTGACCTACGACCTTTGTAGTCTCTGAAGCAGAAGTTCAGTGAGCAAAATGAGCATGTAAATAAGCTTTGGAGACGGCTGTTCAAACCTTTCGGAGTGAATTTTTCAGCTCATTAGGACTGTTAAAATCCTTCTATTCAGAAAAATCTAGGGAGCTGCCAATTGTTTTTCTTGTTTCTTAACATGATTTTACTGGGCAAGACGTAGTCTCCTGCTGTGTGTAACCAACCACTTCTAAAAGTTCTGTAAGCTCTTTAAAATTCTACATCGACTGATTTTCTTTGAAACAGATAAATGGATTAAGGGTTTAAACTTTCTGTCTCTTCTGTAAGATCCAGTTGTATGGACTCTTTGCCTTAGGATCATCCTTTTTCTAATTATCAAGCTACTTCCCGAGCACTGTATTTTACTCACAGCCTGGGATTTAGTGTCTGCAATTGTTCTGAGTCCTCCTGAGGGGGCTCAGATCGCCATTCCTTGACTGACCCCAAACTGCTGAGTCATTGGCAATACAAAATTGCCAGCTTCTGAGTTAAAAGATTTGTTTCTGTGTTTTGCATATTCTATAAAAAGATGGTTACACTGAGGCTCCTCTGGTCCCTTCTGGAGTGTACGTGCTGCGGGGCACTAGCTCGGCCTCAGCCCCCGGGGGTGGAGTCACTTGCGTCACATCACGTGGGGCCTCACAGCTGCCCTGAGAAATGTGAATCCGGGCCTGGTTCCTGGCTGAGGCAGTGCTTGTCCCGTCTGTCCTGATTTGATTACCTCTTGTTTATATTTGAACCAAGTACTAAGCAAGCCTGCGTGAGCCCAGCCTGCAGACAACATCTTCCCTGAGGAGGCAACAGCAGAACTGGTCCCTTTTTGCCCTCTGGTCCATTCTGGTTTGAGCTGTTGTCTAGCAGGATACTGTGTGTGCCTTTCTTTCCCCCTTAGACCTAAACCTGCCTCAGTCTGGGTGGGAGAGGGAGTTGTGTGCAGATGGTGTCAGTACCACAGGGAGGGGGTTGCATCACTGACTTCCTGCGGGACTCCTGAGCATGAAGCTGAGCTGCTCGTGAGTGCCAGCCTTCAGTAAAGTGCCCACTGCTTTGCTCTGAGACAGCCCCCTCCCTCCCGTGCTTTCTCTGCAGCCAGCCCCATGGTTTGGTTGTCCCAGGCAGCCCACCGTGGACAGAGGTGTCTGAAGAGAAAAACTTAATTTCTTTTGAAGGATAATGGTAGGATCGAGAAGTTTTGACAGTGAAGGGGTTTCGGCCACCTAGATCCTAGCCCAACCCCCACATCTCACAGATGGTCACTGTGCGGCCCAGAGGCTAAGTGGAAAAAGAGGGGAGGTGACCTGTAAGATGAAGGGCCAGTGGGATGCTGGGAGCCTGAATGACAACATCTCCGACGGCGGGGTCCTGGTGCACCTCCCGAACCACCAGTGGAGGGAAAACCACCCAGTTGGGAACCGGGATCCTAAGTGCTCCACCCCGTTTCGACACAAATTCAAAGTTAACGGGTTCATCAGGTCTCTCTTGTTCCTGTCTCACCTAACCTGAGAAGCTTTTGTTATTATTTATTTTCTAAAACACTGTTTTATTTACTTGTAAATAATGATCGTGTTTATAGAAGGCTTTTAGCACCTGCAATTTCGTAAATAAAACCCACCTCTCCCAGGGAAGAAGCCCACTCTGGAACCAGCACCCCTCTGTTGACTTTGATCCCACTGTCCGGAAGGTTCTTGGGATGCCTGCCTCTCCCCTCATCAGTGCTCTCTCCCACCCTGGCTGCCCAACATCGCCATTACAACTTTTTCAAAACACCCGTGTGCTGGGATTCTGCATCAGCATTCCAGACCAGAATTTTCAGAGTGCTGGGCCGGGCTTCTCCACACCAGCCAGGGCCACTCAGTGGGGTGGCCTTCCTTGTGGGGCTGGAGACAAACACTTGCCCGGATGTGGAGCAGGCACTGGGGCCCGGGGATTCGCTGTCCTGTCACAGGGGAGGCAGGAGCTGTGCTGGGCACCTCGTCTCTAACTTGTGGAGAGATGGGACGCGGCCTTCTCTGTGTTGGGGGGAGATAGCACGGGGAGGGACGTGAAGTTAGGAAGGAGGGCTTGCCTTGGGTCTGTAACACCACGGTCTGTTTCTTTGATTATTCCAAGTTACTTGATACGTTGTGATTCTGAGGAAGCTTTCTGAGGTCGCAAAGCCACCTTAATTCCCACCTTTCCATCCCCACCTTTATTGCTTAAAAAGACGAGTGATTTTAATGCTCGCGTGATGTAGGTGGACGAATAGCCAGCCCTGTGTTCCCTTGCCAGGAAGTACGCTTCCTGCTTAGTTGTTGCCGGTTAATAATAAAACACTTGTCCTGGTAAATCATTCTTGGAATACAGGTTTTGGACTCAAAGCTATAGACAGTCCAGAATGGGATTTTTTACTTTCTTGGGATGCTTAGAGCTTTTTAGGATACGATTTTTAAAAAAACATGAGTTTGTCTCATTGGAGTGTTCATTTGGCCCTTGTGATGTAACAGAAAATGCGTACCTGCATCTAATAGTGTTACATGTTGATTATATCTGTTTATTTTTTAATTTTTTTTGAAGATTTTATTTGTAAGTAATCTACACCCAACATGAAGCGTGAACTCAACAACCCCGAGATCAAGAGTTGCACACTCCTCTGACTGGGCCCCTAGGTGTTCCAATTACATCTGCTTAAAAAAAATGTTCGTATGTGATCTTTTTCCCTTCTTCTTGGCAGAGAGCTCCAAAAACCCTTGGAATTTGAGTGATACTAGTGGCTTATTGATCAAGAGCCCCTTTTGTGAGGAGCCCCTTTGGAACACAGTCTGGTAGTGAGGTGACTTGGGGGTGGGGTAAGACGGGGGACACCCCCTCGTGGATGGGAGGGGCTGGAGATGGGTTAGAAAACCTTCACACAACAAGGGTCAGAGTTGCGTTGAATGAGCCGCTTTCCTCGTAGCCGGTCCTGCGGGTCTTCCCCAGTGGGCTCTTCCTGAGTTGTATTCTGTCTGATAACGGGTAGATGGACGTCAGGTGTCTTCCTGAGTTCTGTGAGTTGTTCTAGGGAATGACCGCACCTGGCCGGGTGTTGTAGGGGCCCTGACTGGTAGTCTGCAGCAGGAGCGTGAGGGGCCCGGACAGCCCGCGTCTGCTCCATGAGAGCCACCGTGCGCTGGGACTGCGTGTGTGGACCCGCCGCGCTTGCGTGTCAGAAGTGGAGCCGGGCCTGGCATCTGAGTGACAAATGGAGCCTAGGAGGGTGGAACCGTGCGGAGCTGGTCTCCTAGCTGGCGGAGTGGCCCGGGAGCAGGACCACGCCAGAGCTTTTATCATGATCCCTCAGGGTCGGGCGGCACCGGAGGTGGTGGAGAGCCGATGCGCGGTGTCAGGGATGCTGGGGTGTGGGACACCCGAAGGCCCTGCAGCCGCTGTGGACGCTGTGGGTGTGTGGCCTTGGCCTCCTCGTGCGGCCGGGCCAGCGTGAAGTACTTGAGACATTAAGGAGAGAAGTCTTGTGCTAACCAGAAAGCTTGTGTGATCATTTTGTTAGCTAACTGGAGGCTGAGGGAAGCTGAGTGGCAGGGTCTTTGATTTGCTTTTTTCTGATGGTGACCTATGCAAGCAACAACCGAGGGCAGGTTAGGACTCCGAAGAGATGCCCGTTTGGCGTGCTGGGAAGCTGGAGGCCTGCTGGTGCTTCGGCCCATGTGGTGGAGCGGAGTGGGGGGCTCCATCCCTGCTGCCCGCACAGTGTTGGAGATCGCGTGGTGTTGTGTAGGGCCATGCTGGTGTCAGAGGGGCAGTTCTGGGCCACGATAGTTGTAAGACAGTTAGCTACAAACATGGCTCATTGTGTGTCTCTGGTCTCTGCATTTCTGTCCGTATAGGCCGCCTTCACCCTGCCTGTCCCACCCCTGGCCTCCATAGGCCACCAGGGTGGCCTCTTGACAGATGGTGTTGGAGATATATAGACTTGTGACACAAAACAGAAACTGTCCGTCTTCGGCTCAGAAACAGACCTGCACACATCGCCAGCTTGATTTCTGACGGGAAGTGCAGGGCACGGGGGAGCGGGGAGCAAGGGCAGTCTGGTCAGTGAGCAGAGCAGCTGGCAGTCGGCAGGGAAAACCTCACCCGTTTGAGACCACGTGCACAGACTGAACCCAGGCTCATTAAACCCAGATCTGCGTGAGGGTCCCCACCAGACAGGTCTCCATGGCCACAGAGTAGGAAGAGATTGAAACTGAATTAATCAAAGACCTCTGTTAGAACATGACCTTAAACCTGAAAAGGCAAGCCACAGGGAAAGTTACTTTGCTGCATGTTCAGACAAAGAAAGGCTTGTGTCTTGAATATTGAACTCCTACAGAAAGAGTAAGAGATTTTTGAACAGCTAATTTATTTATTTATCTTTTTTCAGAGAGTGCGTGGAGGGGCAGAGCGTGAGAGAGAATCTCAGGGAGACTCTTTTGAGCATGGAGCCCGACGCAGGGCTAGATCTAAGGACCCTGAGATCATGACCTGAGCCCAAACCAAGAGTGGACGCTCAACCGACTGAGCCACCCAGGCGCCCCTTGAACAGCTAATTTAAAAAGATGCTGTCCAAATGGCCAGTAACCAGGAAAAGATGGCCAGTTCCATTGGAAATCAGAGCAATGTAAAATAAGCCACACAAGACACTGTCACAGAATGGCTAAATTTAAAGACTGGTTTATTGGGAGGACCATACCTTGGTTCAGCTGTGTCAGAGGGCAGGCCTTGCCTAATACCACTCAGTCTACACGTGCTACTTTGGGCCGCAGTCCTGCTCCTGGGTCTGTCGACAGAAACGAGAGAGTGGCCACCACGAAACATGAGCAGTTATGGGGGCCCGGGGTGGCCCAGTTGGCTAGGGGCCTCACGGTTTCAGCTCAGGTCACGATGAGGGTCCCTCCTGGTGCACGCTGTCTCTCTCTCACGAATAAATCAACCTTAAACATACTAGCAGTTCCGGGAGCGCTAGTGGTTGCTGCCACATACCTACCAGAGGGACAGTTGGTGGCGGAGCCATCCGGTGCATCCTGGGCCGCAGCCCCAACATGCGGTGTGCTCATCCACGAGCCCTTGGCGGGCCCCCAAGTCCAGCCCCACTGGGCGTTGCGGTTGGATCCCCCCCGGCTCCCCGCCCAGCTGTGCCAAGCCTGCTACTTGCAGTGCGCTCAGGATGTCTGTGTGTAGGGTCGCATCCACCCTTCGGGACGGGCCAGGACTGTTCTGAGCTCTCCCACCTGTTGGCTTCCCCCAGACACGGGCACAACCGGCGGCTGCTGCTCCCCAACCAGTCCTTGCCGGGCCCATGACTGGGGTGCTGATGTGTGTGTGTGGGGGGGGGGTCCCTCTCCTAGCAAGCAGGCTTCCTCTGTGCAGCATGGTGCGCCCAGGGCAGTGTTGAGATCGGATGGTGGGCTAGCCAGAGACCAGCCTCGCTGAAGATACTGGCTTCACGTGCAGGGTGTGGTGGTGGATCGGGGGTGGTAGGTGCTAGGTTCTAGGTTCTATTTTGGTAAGCAGATGATCTGGTGCCAAGACAGCTCTCTGAATCTACAGAATCTGGGTAGAAGCAGTTCGGGATGCATAACAATTGTCAATTTTTAGTTCAAGTAAGAAGGCTGACTTCTTCCTGTGAAGATGTGCCTAATTGAATACGTGGGGGATGGCTTGCTCTGGTCAGTCATGTTCAGTGAGAAATTACTTTTGTTCTAGGCAGAGTATGTTCATCTGGCTTCTGAGGGAAGTAGATAATAGCAGAGACGAGTTTTGTGGGGCTTCAGGATCAGAATGTGACGCTGGTGTGGAAATAAGTGGATAAGAGATAGTATAAACCTTTAAAAAAAAAAACTTAAATCTCTTAAGCTCTTGTTGATGACCTTTTTCTTCTGGAAGTTGAGTGGGAAAAAAGCATTGTGGTCTGTTGGACTCTGCTGGCCCAGCAGGTTACCAGGCACCCATATGGTGTCCTGGAATGGCAGGAGACCCGCAGATGAGTATCTGGGTGCTAGGGGCCGGCCTCGGGTCCCTGGGAGGGTGAGGCCAGGCCAGCCATTGGGTTGCACCTGCCGGAGATGGGCGCCAGGGGTGTGTTTTGGCAAGTTTCAAGGAGTCGGCCTGTTGTGTCTCCCCGGCGCTTCTTAGAAATGGAAGGGTGGGCTGGTTGTCTCTCAGGACTAGGCTCTGCAGTGGGCAGAAAATCCCAACGGTGCCCTTCTGTGTCTCCATCAGGCTCCTGGGTGGAATTGCACTTCAGCAATAACGGGAACGGGAGCAGCGTTCCAGCCTCTGTTTCTATTTATAACGGTGACCTGGAAAAAATACTGCTGGATGCCCAGCATGAGTCTGGACGGAGTAGCTCGAAGAGCTCTCACTGTGACAGGTGGGTAAATAAGCACGTTTGTTCCGGTGCTGGTTTATCCTGCGTGCGGGCCAAGTCCCAGAGTGCCCTCTCTCCCCCCGCCGGGTTCGCGGGACTCTGGCCCTCCGGTGGGAGGGATGGGGCCTGGTGTGTGGAGGGCCCGCGGTAAAGCCGGCGGGTGGACGTGGCACGCAGCCAGTCCCCCTGCCTCTGCCCCCGGCGCATCCTGGCTGACTGCAGACAGCACGGTTGAGTCAGAAAGCAAAGGTCAGGTGCCCTCGGGCTTGCCTCGGAGCACAGAGCTGGTGAGAAGGGCCGTGCGGAGTCCACCCCCTCCACCCCCCTCCACCCCCCGAAACTGGCTCCGCTCCGCCTGCCAAGCTCAGCCAAAGGGGAGCAGAGATGGTGGGAGGGAAGATGTGGGTGCCGGCGCCCATGCTTCCTCTCTGAGGAGACGGTCCTGGGCCTGGAGGGGCTTCGCTTCTCACGACAGAAATCATGTTAACATCCTGTAATTTCTCGCATTCCCTTCTGTGTGCCTACCAAGCCCACCTCGCTCACAGACCCCTCAAGATACGACCCGAGCTTCGGAAATAGACACCCACAGCATCGGAGAGAAAAACAGCTCTCAGGTGGGCTGCAGCAGGTGTTGGTGATCTGCTGGCACGGTGAATGTGGCCAGTGGGACTGAGGAGGGAAAAGTGTGTTTGTTGTATGGGGGGGGGTCTCTTGGCTTTTTCTAAAGCTGTGGGGTGGGAGCATCCCCCCTGTAGGCCTCACACTGAGCTGACCAGAACAAGTACAGGCTCTGCTTAGCGCGTGTCGCGGGGCCTCTGCTGCCCTCATGTGCCAGCCAAGGTGTGCGGGGGGTTCCCTCAGGCCTGCAGCCTGGACGGCCCGTGGCCGGTGGGGAGTCCCTGGGAGCCACTTTGTGGCCGGTCTCTGTCTTGGCTAGCGGTCGGCGGTGAGTGGGTTCAGGAGAGCCTGGCATGATACACGGAGCCACTCGGGGGGCTCTGCCAGTGTGGGGGTGGTGCGGATATGCCACAGTTGGCTGCCAGAGCCTCTGGCTTGCTAATGGCGCTTGTGTGGCTCAGTGTTAGCAGACTGGCCACTTACTTAAGTCGGAGGCCACTTTCCTACCATGTGCTCAAATGCTTCCTGGGTCTTACACGCTGGGGCTATGTTCCGTTGTCAGGCAGGCCTGTCTCTGAGAACCTGGGGCCCTCCAGTGCTGGGCCGTGAGGCCCTGGCCCCCCCAGGACCGCCGGACCTGTGCACGTTGGGATGCACGGGCCAGGTTTCCTTTGGGTGTTTTCAGTGATGATGAGAACACGAACAGTTGACTTCTTTTCCCGTATTTAAAAATCGCGTAGGAAGCGAGGTCTTGTGGTCTGTACCACTGAGGCACTGGATCCCGTGGGGTCTCATCTCTGGGCCTCCCTCCCACACAGGCCCTCCAGGTGCCCTGATGGTACCCTCAGGGCAGCTGGTTGGTTTTGGTACTGTATTCTAGAGTAGCTTTTGCTGATTTTCAAAAGGAATTACATAATGTTTTTTTTTTAATTTTATTTGGCAGAGAGACACAGCGAGAGAGAGGGAACACAAGCAGGGGGAGTGGGAGAGGGAGAAAGAAGCGGGCTTCCTGCCAACCAAGGAGCAAGGAGCCCAATGTGGGGCTCGATCCTAGGACCCTGGGATCATGACTTGAGCCAAGGCAGATGCTTAACTGACTGAGCCACCCAGGCGCCCCTGGTTGTTTTTTTAAATGAAAACAAAACAAAACTACCTGTGATCCTCCTTTTTAAAGTTCCCTATAATTAGTGTGTTTTCCTAACGTATTTTATTTTTTTAAATGTTTTATTTATTCATGAGAGTCAGAGAGAGAGAGGCAGGCAGAGGCAGAGAGAGAAGCAGGCTCCCCGCCCAACAGGGAGCCTGATGCGGGACTCGATCCCAGGACCCCGGGATCATGACCTGAGCCGAAGGCAGATGGCAGATGCTCAACCATCTGAGCCACCCAGGCGCCCCTTCTTAACGTATTTTAGATGTAGCTTGAAAACACAGGTCTGTGAGTTTTCAGTTCTTTCCCTCCCACCGAACACGAAATTGTCCTTTTCCAAAGACTGTGGCACTGGCTGCCATCCTGTAGCCACAGACGCATGGGGTCTGTAGATCGTCGTCTTCTCTGAAAACCCGCCCCGCTGTCAGCATCTGCATGTGGACGCCTTGTCCTCACTGCTTCCTTAAGGGACAGTGTTGGCAGCCTCGTGTCTGTCTGGGAAGCAGGGACGTGAGCGGAGGCCAGACCGGCCTGGTGATGGCATGTGCGGGGGGACGGGCAGTGCTTGGTGGCGTGGCTGTGCGGCGCTAAGCGACTGTTCTCGGTTCTGTTGTAGTCCGAGGAAGATTATATCGAGAGAAGGAAAGAAGTTGAGAGCATCTTGAAGAAAAACTCAGACTGGATTTGGGATTGGTCAAGTCGGCCAGAAAACATCCCCCCCAAGTGAGTGTCTTCGGTGGCGCGGGGGCTTCCGGGACGAGCAGGCGGCTCACTGTTTGTCTTCCTCCCCAGGGAGCTGCTGTTCAAGCACCCGAAGCGCACGGCCACGCTCAGCATGAGGAACACGAGCGTCATGAAGAAGGGGGGCATCTTCTCTGCGGAGTTCCTGAAAGTCTTCCTCCCGTCCCTGCTGCTCTCGCACCTGCTGGCCATCGGGTTGGGGTGAGTGAGGCCGCACGTGGCCTGGGTCCCGATGGTCCTGAGTACGGGGCACTTGTTAACCCTCGTTTAGGTACAGATCGTAAGTCAGCTTAGGTAACATGGGCATGTGGACGAGGCCCAGAACGTGGACCCCAGATCCCCGGCCCCCTCACTTGCCAGCCGCACTGAGAGCGCGTCTGCCTGGTGCTTCCTGGATGCCTGGCTTCCGGTCTGGGCCATCCCGCGTCGGCGCAGACCCCAGGCTCACTCCTCTTCTCGCCCTGTGGACGGATGCTCTAAGCGGTCCCTCCCGCTGCAGCTGGCTGGGCCCGGGGACCCGCCACACCTCCCACAGCGCAGCCCCGTTCCAGTCGCAGGGCAGCGAGCCCCGTGCGTCTCTGGCATCTCGTACCGTGGGCTGGGCTTCCCCCAGCCTCTGTCGTGGTGTGTCGTGGTGTGCCACGGTGTTGTGTGCGTGCAGCTTGCCGGACAGACCGGATTGTATTCACGGGCATCTGACGGAGGCTGGCCTCCAGGGCCCCGAGGGAAACAGGAGGAGACAGCCCCCCATTTTCCCAGAATCCGTGAATGGGGCTGTTCAAAGTTGTAGGGCAGGTGGGCACTTCCTGGTCTTGCAAGGTTCCTCCTGGCCCGCTAGCCCTGTGGGAAGTGAGCGCAAGGCTGCTTTCCCTGCCCTCCCTTTGGAGTCTCGGAGCTTCAGACCCTCATTCTGGGAACTATGCCTGCGATGTGGCTTCCCAATGGGCCAGAGGCTCCTGGATGTCAGCGTCCAACATGAAAGTCCTCCACGGTCCTGGGCCAGACCCTCTCCCCTTTTCTGCTTGGAGTCACCGGCTTTATTCTGGCCCCTGTGTCTCAGAGCCGGGCTCGGAGTTTTTTCCAGAACTAGCAAGTTAGGTTCCGTGGGAGCAGGGCCTGGTGCAGGTTTCAGTGCCTGGCTTGGGCCTTCATTTCGGGGTAAATTTCTGCAGCCCCGCTCCCACCTAGCGTCCCTGCCTTCCCTGCCAGACTCAGAGCTTGCTGGTGGCCCGGACCTGTCAGGGCTGCCTGTGGTGGTTGGAATGAAGTCCACCCCGGCAGGATCTGTGGGCTCTTTTCTGCGCGAGGGCAGGGCTTTGTTACTCTGTGAAGGCCTTGGTGAGGTGGGTGGTGATGCCCCGTGGGTGGCTCCCCAGCAGTGTGTCCACTGTATGAACGTAGAGACAGGCCGTGTCGTGCGAGGATTTGTGGTTGGTTGGTGGCCTGCCTTATACGGGTATGGAGCACGCTGGTGTTAGGGCACAGCTGGGGTTTTTCAGAATTAGATTATAAAATACGTAATGATAAATCATGAAGCACTTGATAGATTCATCACAAAGTTCTTAAAAGCGGGTCGAAGGTAGCCAGTCCCCGACCACAGAAGCTCTAACCCAGCCTGAGCGGCCCTGTCTCTGCTAACTGCTGATTGCTTTTTCTGTGAAGGATCTACATTGGAAGGCGTCTAACAACTTCCACCAGCACCTTTTGATGAAGCACTGGAAGCCAGCTCTCGCCCCGTAGCGGGGTTTCTGTCGGGCTGGAGGCGGCACGAGGCGAAGAGCCGCCGCGGGCTGGGGCAGCTGCGCCACTGGATGGGTCTGTCTGTTCTGTAAATGCTGCGTTCCTAATTGAGTAGAACGGAAGAAGAGTTAAAAAAAAAAAAACCATGCCAACCTGTAATCATACCTATGGGAACAATTAGCATGTCCTACTGATTAACATCTACTGTAATAATTTGGTAGTAAATTTTGTTTGGATATTATAAATATCGAAGTATAAATAATTTTAACACTAGATATGACATGTAGTATTTCAACAAAAATGATCTGTAACCAGTTACTCAGTTTAAAATACTTTATATTTGAAAAGAACGAATAATGTTTATTAAATAATGACTACATAAGGGGTTTATCCCAAATGAATATTGTGGCCTTATATTCACACTGTTCCAGGAAATACTATGTTTAAGTGGATGCAGGTTGTCTTTACTGAAGACTACGCTTAACTCTGCTGTCGGTCACGCCATGGAATCCGAGGAGCAGATGCAGACTCAGTCCTGCTCCTACACGAAGCTGCGGGCCCCTGCAGGGTGTTAACAGCTGCCCGGGCAGGTGGTCTTCTGTCCTTGGCACCTGCTAAGTATCTTTCCTCTCTTAGCCCTCCGGATTGCTGAATTTAGTCCTACTCTTTGTGTTCGGTTTTTGTGCTCTTAGAATCAGCTTCATTCTAAGCAAACCTGTGTCTACTTCAAAAGACTGGAAATAGGAAAAAATAAATCTTTGCCAAATCCTTCAGAGATGACTGTAGTTACGTATGGTTTAAATGAAATGTCAAAAATCTTAGATTAAACCAAGCGTTGGCCCCATTGTCACCATTACCTTTTGGACAGCATATTTTAAAGGCTGCCTCGTGGACATCCTGTGTGTATCCCATTGTGGAATCTGTTCCACGTTTCCATCCTCATTCAGTTGTGTTAAAATAACATTCTAAGTTTTTAAAATTTCCATTTATATTTAAATGATTACTCTGGACCTAGCAGTGGACAGCTGCCTTATTGGGAGAAAGCTGGTTGATCGGCATTGGAATTCATGTAACTTCTCTAAAGATCCAAGTCACTTGGACATGCTGTGGTCAAGCCAATCTCTTGTGACTCGCAGTAGATGGATCTGCCTATTGTCAGAAACAAATGGGCTCGTTCCTTTGCTGCTTCTGTCCCAAGAGCCCCAACCATGGGGGCTGCACTCTGCACGGCTGAGCCAGGTCCAGCGTCTTTGGGATCCACGCCCCTCGCGCATAGGGACTACCCTGTACCTTCTGAACTGTCGTCTGGGCGATTGGGGGCCCTCTGCAAGGCAGTTCCTTTTGTCCCCTCTTGGTGGCATTAGTGAGCACTGAGCTGAGCAGCACTGGCTGGAAGTCCTCCAGGACTGTTAGGAAAGTGCTCTTCTGTGAGAGACCTGAGCCTTCTAGAGCACCCCCCCCACCCCCCCAGCATGGAGACGGACATTTGACTCCAAGTGCTGTATTTGCATGGATCTCTGTGTGGTGTTCTTCCTTTTGGGTAGGGTAATAGCGCTGTAGAGGTTTTGCGAATAGCCCTTTGTACCTTTCATTATATTCACTGAATAGCATGTTTGGATTATGTTAAATGACGCAAAACATGTAGTTGCTGCTTCTGAATGCAGCTTCCTGGTCCAGACACCTGCAGACTCTGGTGGGGCACCTGGAAAAGTGCAGGTGGATACGGCTCTGGAGGAAAATCAGGCAGTACCTGGAAAACCACCTGCTCGTTCCTTCTGACCTATGACGCACTTGTAGGGATCTACCCTGAAGATAAACGTAGGTCGAGTTGGAGACACTTGATTTCGTGTGGTACCGTGCGCAGGTGGGCAGTGACGGCGCTGTGGTGCTCCCTTGCTGGAGCCCAGTGCGGCTTCTGAAAACTACCACGAGGGTTCAACAGACGGTTGGGGATTTCTGGGGTGTGCTGGTTCCCCAACAAACAGGAACTGGAGTTAGCGGCAGGCAGCTTAGAGTGGTCACCACATTTCTGATTGGTCAGCCTTCCCATCTGTTCCTCCCCAGGACCGGCCTGCTTCACCCGTGGCACGTACCGGGGGGATTCCTAGTGCCGAGGGGAGAGGCCTACCTGGGGAGGGCGGTCCAGCTTCAGTATGGGCCTTCTGGCATCAGGCAGGCTGCCCAAACTGCAGGCTGGTGAACAAAATAAATTTTGAAAAGAGAATATACATGGTGTGCTATCATTGCAAAAAAGAGCCAAAGAACACAACTGCTCAACTTGTGGAAAAAGAAACCCCGAATATAGAAATGTGGGAGACTGGCTGCCGACAGGGGTGAGGGGTGCCAGCTAAGGGGCGTGGGAAGTAGGCAGGAGAATGAAGGCCTATGCCTTTTTCGTGATGGACTCAGAACCACAGCAATGCTTTGAAGCCAAAATCCATAATTGAAGCCAATGTTTTCAAGGGAATTCAAAATGGAATGCAAATAGGGAAACAAGTAAACGAGGCCATGCTGGAGGGGCGGGGGAGGTGGACGAAGCAAAAGGAGTAGAGGTGGGCCAGAGCCAGCGGTGGATTTTACTGGGGGGTGTCCGCATTAGCTCACAGTCTTCAACACACAATCATGGCCATCCATACAAGTGTGCGTGCAAACACGAAGGTTTCCAGCTTTGTCCAGAGGGCCTAATGAGCAATGCCAAGTCAACAGCAGAGGGCTGGCTGGTCCCGGATCTGGTTCCTCACGCCGTTCTTCAATGATTCCAGGACAACGGGCGGGAGTCAGGAAGGGCTCAGAAGCCAAGGTGAAGGAACCCACAGTGGCCTGAAATGGGACAAACAAGGAGCAAAGCTGCTACAGTGATGGACGTTGACCCAGGGACTCGCGGGCGTCCCTGAGTCCACACTGACAGCAGATGGGAGAAAGGCACAGTTCTTCCTCAGAACTCCAGCTCCGTACAGGAGGGCTGACGGGAGGGCTGACCATCAGGCAAACACAGCTGCCGGATCCGTGGGTGCTGGAGTGAGTTCGTAAAGGTGTGACGAAGAGCTGGAGGCCTCCCCATGGAAGAGTAATCACAAAATGAAAACTCTGGAGCTTGATGGTGAAGAAGCCTCGTAGAGCCAGAATAAACCCATGTGCACACGGTCAATTACCCTACGAGAAAGGCGGCCAGAGCCTGTGGTGGGGAGGACTGTTTCTTCAGGAGATCTGCACCCCTGTGCTACCGCAGAGCACGATGCAGGGTGCCTGGCTGGCTCTGTGGGTGGCGCATGTGATTCTTGATCTCGGGGTTGAGAGTTCAAGCCCCACATGGGGCATAGAGATAGCTTTAAAGTCTTGGAGTGCTGGAGTGGCTGGCTCTTCATTTGGGCTCAGGTCATGAACTCAGGGTCATGAGATGGAGCCCTGCATCAGGTTCTGCACTCAGCAGAAAGTCGGCTTGAGATTCTTTCTCCCTCTTCCTCTGCCCCTGCTTGCACGCTAAGATAATTTTTTTTTAAGATTTTATTTGAGAGAGCACAAGTGGGGGAAGGGGAAGAAGGAGAGGGAGAAGCAGGCTCCCCACAGAGCAGGGAGCCCGACATGGGGCTTGATCCCAGGACCCCAGGATCATGACCTGAGCTGAAGGCAGATGCTTAACTGACTGAGCCACCCAGGCATCCCTAAAATGAATCTTCAAAATAAGATAAAAATCTTCAAAAAAATTGTTAAAACCACCCAACAATGAATTTAAGACCCTAAACCATAAACTAGAAAAAAAATGGGCAGTGACCTCCCTAACACTTGATCTTGGTGATGGTTTTTTGGACTTGACACCAAATGCAAAAGCAACAAAAGCAAAAAATAAACCAGTGGGACTATACCAAACTAAAAATCTTACCAACATGATGAAATGGAAACCTACTAAATAGTAGAAAATATCTGTAAATTGTGTATCTGATAAGGGGCTAATATTCAAAATAATTCCTGCAACTTCATGGTAACAAGTCAATTGGATTAAAAATGGGCAGAAGACATGAGCAGACATTTCTCCAAAGACGACATCCAGACGACCAGTAGACACATGAAAAGATGCTCAACATCACTCATCATCAGGGAAATGCAAATCAAAACCACGATGATATATCACCTGACACCTGTCAGAATGGCTAAAAATAGAAAACACGAAAACAGATGTTGGCGAGGATGCGGAGAAAAAGGAACCCTCATGCACTGCTGGTGGGAACGTAAGCTGGTGCAGCCACTCTGGAAAACAGTATGGAGGTTCCTCTAACAGTTGAAAATAGAGCTACCCTACGACCCAGCAACTGCACTTCCAGGTACATGTCTGAGCAAAAAAAAACACTAATTTGAACATATCTACACCCCACCATGTTCATAGTACTATTCACAACAGCCAAGATTTAGAAACAACTCAAGTGTCCATCAACGGATAAATAAAATGTGTTGTCTGTCTCTCACACTCACACACACACAAATATTATTCAGCCATGGACCTTGATAGGCCATGATGCTAAGTGAACTAAGTCAAATAACTGCATGATCCCCCTTATATGTGGAATCTTTTTTAAGATTTTATTTGAGGGGCGCCTGGGCGGCTCAGTCATTAAGCGTCTGCCTTCGACTCAGGTCATGGTCCCGGGGTCCCTCTCCCACTCCCCCTGCTTGTGTTCCCTCTGTCGCTGTCTGTCAAATAAATAAAATCTTTAAAAAAAAAATTTGAGAGGCAGAGTGAGCACAAGCAGGGCGTGAGGAGCAGGGAGAGGGAGAAGCAGACTCTCCACTGAGCAGGGATCCCGAAGTGGGGCTCAGTCCCAGGACCCTGAGATCATGACCTGAGCCGAAGGCAGACGCCTAACCGACTGAGCCCCTCAGGCGCCCCACATGTGAAATCTAAAAGTAAAGCAAAGCAAAAACCAAAAATCAAGCGCATAGGCACACACAATAGACTGGTGGTTGCCAGAGTTGAGTGGGGGGTGGGGGAAATGGGTAGAAAGAATGAAAAGGCACAAACGTCCAGGTATAAACTAAAGCCACTGGGAAGTAATTCAGGGCGTGGCGATGACAGGTAATAACACTGTTGTATATTTGAAAGTTGCCAAGGGAGTAGATCTTAGAAGTTCTCATCGCAAGAGAGAGCATTTTGTGATCATATGTGGTGACGGATGCTAACCAGAGTCGCCGTGGTGGTCACTTCCCAGTATATGCAAATATTGAATCATGTCCACCCGAACCTTGTCTACGTTCATTATACCTCAATGATAAAAAAAAAAAAGACACCATTTCTAATAAGAACCATAGAATTATACTGCATTAAGATACTTGGATTTTAGAGAACATACTTTCCTCTGAATGTTCTTGGAATGACAAATTCATGCTCCTCATCCTTATGGAACACACATTTTTAAAGATGTCTCGAGATCTCCAAAGACACTAACAATGAACTCTGGGGCAGACAAGTGAATTGTTTCAATACATCCCAAAGGAACACCTGAAGCGTCTAGGGAGGGGTGTGATGCCACATGACGTGCCCCGAGGGGACAGGGCTCTGCCCGCACCTCTGGGCCCCACTGCGCTCCAGTGGCCTCCTGCACAGGTGCAGAGGCCTCTGTTCGGACCCGGTGTCCATCTGACTCCTGGTCCAGGAGCAGAGCCTGTTAGAGACGTCAGTGGTGCCCCCAAGGGTGCCAGTGGCGCTGCTGAGTGTAAGGCAGAGGCTTGCGCAAGGCCTGGAGGGATCTCATTCGGGACGCGTCTGCAGACTGGGCCACGGGAACGGGGCTCCTTTGGTGACTTACCAGCTATGGGCTTGTCAGAGACACAGCAGGTGTCGCTGGTTCTCACAGTCCTTGAGTGCAGGGAGCTGAAAGTGAACGCAGGGCCGTGCTCGGGGAAGGAGTGCCGCCTGAGGCAGGAAAGGACAGGCCAGGTACCCCTGCACGGCGGCAGCCCAGCCTCCCAGCCAGCGGGGCTGCTGCCCACCCTGGACACCCGATGCTGGGACCCCACCTGCGCTCACGCCCCAAGGAGAGGGACATGCTGCCAGACGAGGTGTGGATGAGCCCAGCAGCCCAGGCCCAGATGACACTCACCTCCACACGTTCTTCTGTCCGTGATTCCCTGCTCATCCCTTCGGGGCCACAGCTCCACGGCATGCAAGTGTCCCTGCGTCCTGTATGTGCCCGCCCCTCACCAGCTCCATTGGGGCGCATCGTGGGGCCAAGGCACAGAGTGCAGACCGGAGCCCCTGACCATGACTGTGTGCCGCAGGGTACCCACCTGCACCCCATCACCACACTGGTGTGAGGGAAACCCTTGGCCGAGGGCCTGCGTGGAGCAAGCACCCAGTAGAAGGGGGTTGTCACCATCAGGAGTAGCACCCAGGCCTGTGACAGCCCTGTGTGTGTAGGGGGGTAGGGGGCTGCCTTTTAACGCCATGTAATCCCTTACCCCATCCATGGTTGGCTCCTGGCCCCGCGCCCAGCTGGTGTGGAGACTCCTCGTGGGGGAACATGCTCAGCCTCCTGGGGTGCTCCCTGCCGTGGGCACAAAGAAGCCCCTTTGCACCGAGGATGGGACCCAAGGCAAGCACGGTCGAGCCTGGCCAGGCAGGTGTGAGCTGACCACACAACGGGCCTTCCAGTGAGCGAAGGAGCCCAGGGTCAGCAGGCCGAGGCCTGAAGGCTGCCGTCTGTGGGCCCCGGATGCTGCCTTCTCTCCACCGGGAAGGCCCAAGGACCAGGGTCTTGGTCAGTTATCACACCAGCTCGTACAAGGCTTTTCTTGACTTCCTACACTCCCCTGCCAGAGGCCCCAAGCCAGGTCATAATGAAATGGTGGTTCCATCCCCACTTAACCCCTGAGACAGAGCCTTAGGGCAAACCCCGCCTCAGACCGGGGTGCGCACAGAACGATGTCCCCCAGACGACAGGCTCCTGCTGGCCCTTCACCTCCGGAGCCAAGGCGTCGCTGTCACCCAGGCCGACTCAGGGCTCCTCTGCACAAGTGCCAATTTGGACATTCTTCTCAACCCCCTCAAGCAAAGACCTGTAGCAATTCCTCCTGGGAAAGCAACGTCGCGACCCAGAGCCCCCGACTCAGCCTGGCCAGCAGGAACTGCCCACACGTGCGGAGCACGGAGCTTTGGGGACAGCCTCCAGCTGGGCAAACAGGGCCACTTAGCTCCTCGAGAAGAGCAGCAGAGACGTGGCCTTTGCTCTTGTCCCACCATGAACGCCGAGGATTTGTGGACAGCCGACCACCCGACTCTGAGTCTTACACTAGCTTAGTAGAAGCTCGATTTTCCTTAAAAAACCGTGTCTAAATCCACACTTGAATAAAGCGTATTCACCCCAATCCAGGTCACCAGCCTAGAGAGCACGACAGCTTTAAGAAAACGGCGGCACAGAATTCTAAGGATGAAAACTCACACAACTTGCTGTCAGGAACGCAGACAATGTAACTGTAAACGAGAGAAAGGGGGAACGCTGCGGTGGCCTCGGGGATAGCGCTTCCTCTGGCGGGGTCCCGTCTGTGATGCGGCGGCAGGCCCGCTTCCTACTTAGTGGGAAAAGCCGTCTGAACACACAGTGCAAATCCAGTTAGACATTTAAAATTTATTACACCTTTTGATCAAAATAGTTGAACATGTATATACAATCCCATTGGAACTTTTTTCTGAAGGACCGGGGTGGACTAACACTTCGAGAACTCTGCTCCACACCTCAGATTTGTCAATTGCGCCACAATGGATATACGGTAAGAATTATTTTTAAATTAATTGTACTTTGAAATTCTCCATTTCTAACTGAATGTGATTTGAAGTGGCATTCTGTTAACATTAATTCAGGGAAATGAACAGAATGTTCATTATCAAGACATTTGTTCTTACAGATCGATACCGTTAGTAATCAAAATACGCCTTAAAATTTCAAGAGCGGTGCGTGCACCCCGGCGCTCCCGTCCCCTGGAGGACGCTGTGATTTGGGCCCGTGTGTGAAATCCCAGTAAGGTCCAGTCACTTAGCATTGTTACACCTCTACAGTTTGTCTTGGGAAATGCTGATTTCTGGTATCAAAGATCCTACTTTAAAAATACGCCACACCAGGGTAGTGACGGCATTGCACAGTAATTACAGTTGCTTAATTCTGTTGGCTTGAAATGCAGTATGAAACTGAGCATGCATGTAATCTCAGCAATTTTTAAAAAGAATATCCCTCCCACAAGTACTCTTTAAAAAGGTTTAAAGAGAAAGCACGTCTGTGTTCCCGGCTGTACTGGAAACCAGATGTTGTACTTCCGTAGCGGCGGTTCTGCGGCTCACAACTCTCTCAGAGGCGGTCCCAGGCTTTGCGCAGACCTTACCTGGCGCGTTACCTGCACTCTTTCCACAGAAACGAAACAGTTACAGAGTTTGGGACGGACGGGTTCAGAGCACACGTGCCACCATTCTGCCAACGGAGGACAGAAGCTTTTCATGTTGTTCCAAAGCACGATTCTGCAGAATTCCATCATGTGCCATGAAAGCAAATAAAAAGCCGATACTTATCTTGGATTTAAAAACACGTTTTAGAGTGTGTGGCTTTTATTCAGTGGTCACACCAGAAGGCGTGATGGTAGATACAGGTGTGGGGGCGGGGGGGGGGGGAGTAAAGCTGCCTGAGCCTGCTTGGCGAACCCACGCCCGCAACGGGGGCCACCTGGGCTCGGAGGAAGGCGGGGGGGGGGGCACGGCGGCACACACGTGTGAAGGCCTGAGTGTGAGGGGGGGCGGTGGGGGGGGAGGGCTGCAGAGAGAGAGACATTCCATCAGACAACTTTTCTCTTGGGTGTTAACTTTTTGGTCTACAAACTGGAAAGCAAGGCTCAGACTGAAATAAATACATTTATTCTGAGTAATGGCCGTTACTGAGCACTGTCCACCAATGCTGCGCTGAGTGCGTGAGTGGGTGTTCCGCGGAGCAGCAACCCGGCCCGCCTCGCCGCAGGCGGAAGACCGGCCCCTCCAGTCTGTGCAGGGGAGCGGCCAGCACCCTGCCGCTCCTCACCGGGAGCAGGACACGCCCCTCCTCGGAGAAGACAGCCGGGCTCAGTCCCCGCGCTGGCTTCCTTAGTTGACTTTGTCCTGGAAGATGTACAGGTTGTTGGTGGCGGCCACGGCGATAATGTTCTCTGCCGGGTGCCAGGCCGTGTGCAGGATCTTCTTATTGAAGTCCAGACTGTCCACACTAATCTCGTCCTTCTTTCTCTTACCGCCTGTACACACTTTCCGAGGCTTTAAGCTGGCTCGAGGCTTGCTGTTCTCCCGGGAAGCTTCCAGCGTGACATCCCTCCGTGTATTCCGATCAAACATCCTGAAGAAGTTGTTGTAGGACCCCGTCATGATCGCACTGCTCAAGACAAGAAGAGAGAGTAACGCCTGTCAAGGACAAAGCGCTCAACACCCCCGCCGCACGTGGGCCCAGCGCCCTGGACACCCAGCGCCGGTCACCTTCCCTCACCCCTCCTCTACCTGACAAAACCATTTCTAGAAATAAGAAACCAGTAGAACGGTCAGGAGAGACATGCAGTGAAAATTTCCTCCTGAACTGCGTATGTGCCATCATGTCAGCAAAAATATACAATACAGGAAAGAAAGGGAAAAAAGGAATAGCCACACTTTTAATTAGGCTTTTTTTTTTAAGTGATCTCTACACCCAACATGGGGCTCAAACTCATGCCCCGGAGATCAAGAGTCCTGTGCTCTTCTGACTGAGCCAGCCAGGCGCCCCACATTAATGCATTTTTAAAAAGTAAAAAAACCCGACACAGTCATCTGTCCCAGCCACGAGTAACTGTGATTTATTTTCAGGTCTTGAACATTTCCAACTCTGTCAATGATTCAAAGTTGGTTTGTGTTCAGTGGACATTAGTCAGACTTCTCCCAGCACAACACACAGTAGCTCAAAGAATACTTTTTAATTCATTTTGATGTCAGAAAGTTCTTTCACAGGAAGCAACAAGAACACAAAGGGGAAAAGTCCTAGACCTCAGTGTGGGTCTCAAGACGCTGCCGTGCTGCCCACTGTCTCATTTCTCCAGCATTAATTCTAATGGCTTCTGCCGTCTCTACAGTTGAAAACGTTACACTGGTACAAACTTCTGGTCTTTTTCTACAAAACAGAGGAAAATGGCTCACAACAAGTGTTGCCATGATTTGGCCCGTGGCCACTGCAGACGAGGAGGTTCAGACCTTGCCCCGTGGACGGGGCGGATCCTGCTGGCGGCACAGCCCGGTCCTGGCAGCTCCCCGCAGTCTCCTCCGAGGAGCCCATGGCCTCCTGTCTCATCGAGGCACGGCTAGCGGCTGACCTTGACCACGGGCAAATCCCTCATAGTCTGACTAAGCTGCACCCAGAAAACAGGATCAACTCAGAAGACTACTTGCAGCTACCCTTATTCCGCTTCTGCTCTTGAATGCCGGGAGCACACAGCGCCAGGGCCGCCCAGGCCAGGGCGCTCTCCGGCTCAGCCTCGTGGGCCAGATGACGTCCATGGAAGGCTGAGCAGGAAGCGTGCCAACGTGCAGCTTCCGCCCACACTCAAACTTAATTGAACCCGCCACAATTCCTCAGAACACAGGTAAGATTCTTTCAGGAGAATGCTATTTTATTTTTTAAAGATTTTATTTATTTATTTATTTGATAGAGAGAGCACAAGCAGTAGGAGTGGCTGGCCGAGGGAGAAGCAGGCTCCCCGCAGAGCAGGGGGAGCCCGATGTGGGACTTGATCCCAGGACCCCGGGATCATGACCTGAGCCGAAGGCAGTCGCCCAACCAACTGAGCCACCCAGGCGCCCAGGAGGATGCTATTTTATTATTGGCACTGATTCCAACTGCTGGTGCCTAGTAAAAACCAAAGCAGACCAACTTCAATACAGACACATTATTTCTTTAGATTTTCTTTTAAGATTTTATTCATTCATTTGACAGAGAGAGAGACAGCAAGAGAGGGAACACAAGCAGGGGGAGTGGGAGAGGGAGAAGCAGGCTTCCCGTGGAGCAGGGAGCCCGATGAGGGGCTTGATCCCAGGACCCTGGGATCATGACCTGAACCAAAGGCAGACGCTTAATGACTGAGCCACCCAGGCGCCCCTTCTTTAGATTTTCTGACCGCCACGCCCACATGGGAGGTGGGAGGTTGGTGTTCCCACTGCACTGGTCCAGTGACCCAAACCACACAAATGACCACCTTCCCAAGCACGTGGCCAGGTGTCATCCTGTTCCCTGGTGGCAAAGTGGACCCAGGAGCAAGTGGCTATGTCCATTTCTGCTAGACAACCTGAGCACAGCCAAGTGGTGCCACATGACTGCACGGTCCTGGGCAGAGTGCAGGTCTCCCTCCCCGCCCTCCCCCCGCCGCCCCCCCGGCCCCACGTCACACCATCCCTCAACAGGTGCTCCCTGGCAAGAAGGCAGGGGAGTGTTTGCAGAGATGAAAGAACAGGTAAATGTTACTGGAAAGCCTTCGGATGTTCTTGGGGATGGGTAATTGAAGGGCATTTTTCAGTATTTTGGATATACCAAGAGGCATAAAAAAAATACAGTGACTGTCGATCTACCCATAAGCCACTGCTAGCTTGGTCTAGAAAGACCGGTCTCCCACCCTGGGCCCCTACCGGGACAAACAGTCCTTATAGTAGGGGAGGATCATTCCTGTACATGTTTACATCTTGAACAGTTACGCATTCTTAAAAACGCAACCATCTTGCACGTTCTAGATGACACAGAAGTCATTGAATCATATTCTTCCAACAACATGCTTTCTTTGCTCTTTATCCTTGTGAGATCATCTACGGTTCTTAGTATTGTAGGTTATGAACAGACAAGTTCCTTGTTCACTCACCCAACGGTGAACACTGAGCTCCTTCAGGGGTTCGCTAGTTCCTGTTTCTGAACATGTTTTCTTGCCTGTATGTGCATGAGGTTCCTGACCCACATGGGCCGCTGCCAGTCTCCAAAGAAGGGACACGGTCAAGGCCACTGGCCCCCACCCCTCAGCCCGACATCCCCGTGGTTGTGAAAGCTCTGAGAGGGCATCCGGTTGGTCTGACCTGCTGACTCCTACTGAGGACGAGCATTTTTATCCATTTTCTTCCCATTTCTATTAATTCCCATTTATGCGCTGTCACTTTCCTATAGACTAAGAATTTTTTGCATATTCTGGATACCTCTCTTTGCCAGTTATATCTGCTCTTGCAGGTTTCATTTTTATTGTTGTATTCCCATATAAAGTTTACCATGTAAATGTAGGTGAAGTTCCTACTGTTTTCTTCACCGTCTGGATCGGAGCTTAATAAGTCCGTAGTGTCCTGGGCGCCTGGGTGGCTCAGTTGGTTAAGCGACTGCCTTCGGCTCAGGTCATGATCCTGGAGTCCCGGGATCGAGTCCCGCATCAGGCTCCCCGCTCAGTGGGGAGTCTGCTTCTCCCTCTGACCCTCTCCCCTCCCCCTGCTTGTGCTCTTTCTCTCTCAAATAATTAAATAAAATCTTAAAAAAAAAAAAAAAAAGTCTGTAGTGTCCTGCGTGCGGGTGGTGCTCTCCCACAGCTCTGGCCCAGTCTTTACAACACTCAAGAGCTTGTTTACTCTGGCTGAGGGAGAACTATAACCTGTACCCCCAACACAAGACAACCAATTTAGACAAATCACTATCGTTCAGAGTCAACGTTCCTTAGCTTTGCTTGCAGGGCCGGGGCCGGCGATGGCTGCCTGCCTCCCTGAGGTCTCACACCTGCTTTCTGAGCTTGCGTCCTTTCCCAGAAGCGCACCCTCTAGATCTGTTTTGTGAGCTCCCATCAGGGTGAACTGCTCTCCATCTGAAAGCACCTTTATCGCACACACATTCTGAATGATCCTTGTCTCCAGACACACCCCAGGCTGACAGCAGCTTTGCCCCAGCATGCTGAAACGAGCACAAGGCGCTGCGTCACACCACCTTCTGTATGTCTGCTATGCTGAGCAGGCCACGCTCAGCCTGACCGTCCATTCTCCAAAGTAGTGTGTCAGTTTTTCCATGGCTGCTTTTAAGATCTTCTCTTTGCTTCTGGTGCCCCGTGATTTCATTCTGACACAGATGTGGATTTCTGTGCTTCCTGAATCTGTGTGCTCAGTCTTCCGTCAGCTACAGAAAATTCCTGGCCGTGTCACACGTCCTCCTGGGCACGCCTCCACATTTCGCTGTGTGGCCCCCTCCCCCACCCCCCGGCCCGCAGGTTGCTCCTGACCTTTCTCGGGTCCCACCAGCCACTCCGCGCTGCACCCTGGGCACCCCCAATGTTCTTCAGTTCACTAACCCAAGGTCTCTGTTGCTGCTCTGGATCTCCCACCAAGTCCACAGTGATTTTCAATCACTGTGTTTTTTATTTCTAAAAGTTGTTTGATTCTTTTACAAATCTCCTAGGTCATTTTTAGGGGTCTTGTTTATGGTTCCTTCCATTAATCCGAAAATATTTTCAGCATTCGTATCTTATACTCTGCAACTTATGGCTCCAGTATCTGAATCCTCACAGGTTAAGTTTTGTTGCTGTTTCTGACTTGTTCACAGTAGCTTTCCTACGGGTACTTGGTTCTTTTTACCTGTACGCTCATGTTTAACGGATTTTAATCTGGGGAAATCCTGAGTCCTGGGTGTAACGGGAGAGGCACACAGCCAGATTTTCAGTGGGTTTGCGAACAGTGTGATTCCTGAGTGCTCTCTCCCTGGGGTGAGCATCAGGGCCCTGCAGTGTCCAAGTGCAGGTGTGTGTACCACTCTCTACAGAAGCTCAGGGTGCACTGGTTGTGACCCCAGCCCCACTGCTCGTGTGGCACTGCCTAGGCCCCTGGTGTTGCTGCTGGGGGACTTGGGAAATGGATGACTGCATAAAGCGCAAACTGCTTTGTAGGGCTGGGAGTCCGGTGCTGCCTCTGCTCCAGGAGGCTCCCTTCGCTGCAGCATCCAGGAGGCGCAAAGAGGTGGCAGTTGGCACATCAAGAGGGTAAAAGCCCGGATCCGAAGCAGTTTGCTCCTCTTGACGCCCAGAGCCCTGACTGCTCTGTAGTGCTTGACTCCTCAGTTAGCTTTTCTAGATCATGAAGCCAGTCCAGACACAAACTCTGCATCCTGGGAGGGAGGGCAGGCTGAGGGTTCCACATCTCAGAGAATTTTTATGCTTTCCCTACCCCCTAAGGTGAGAGACACATTTCCCTTGGGACTCCCATCTGGACGTACTTTTCCATAATCCTCGAGTGTCCCACTGCGCACTGCGTGGACCCAAGGCTGTAAGCACACCAGCCCTCTGCTCTGAAAACCCAGCCAGCGGGGTCCCGGGACCAGATGCCCCCAGGCCAGCTCAGCGACCCAGGTTCCCCGACCTTCTGCTGCCCGCCCCTCTTCACCCTGGCCGTCGGACCCTCCCCCTCATTATGTGTGCGCACAGTGACCCATGTGCACAGGCCCCCTGCCACGCACATCCCACAGGGAGGCCCCACCTGACTCACCATTCCACTAGGGACGATGGGGGGACAGTCTCTTTCCAGCATCAGAAACGCACTATGCTGTCTGAGATCGAAGACACAGCGCTCAGCAGTACTGCTGTTATTGCCCTCCTCAGAGAACGTGCACAGAATAAACTACCGAGACACCAGAGCCTCCACTTCCTAGAGGCCACCAGGACTTCACGTCAGCCACCCCACCTGCTGTCCAACACAACCACCGGCGAACTCGGAGGGCATTTTCCCCTCTTGTTCCCTCTAGAGGAAATGGCAAACTGGAACATGGCCATTCCACATGCTTAGTGGTAAATCATTACCCCACGTCCTTCCTTCCCGCTCATCTTGGAAACAATACAAAAAATACATATATTTTGAAAATATTTTAAAAGCATTTTAAAAACCACCAAAAGCAACCTTAGTGCCATGTGTACCGTCTGAATACAGATGGGACCTCAGCGAGGGAACAGGTGCTGAGACGCCCTCTTGTCTCCACCTTGAACCTGCCGCTCGGCAGGCAGGCGGCCTGGAGAGCGCAACCCACAGCAGCCCCCAAGGCAGCCCCCACGCACCCAGGGCCGGTCCACCATGACACGTGCCCTACCTGTCCGAACCGCTCCAGCAGCACTCAAACTTGTCGAAGATGCAGTCGTTTTCATACAGAGAACAAAGCTTGCTTCGCAGGTACTCGTGGACCTTAATGAAACCACAGGAAGGTTAGAAAGCGTTGTGCACAGTTGTGGCGCCATGCCTGCACGGTGGCCTCACCTGGTGGGTCTCCACGGGCCGGCTCTCCATGTTGAGGTCCCACACCTTCACTGACAGGTAGTCTCGGGTCATCATGTACCGACCACTGTGACTGAATTTTACGTCGGAGATGGAGGAGATTATTTCTGAGAAGAAGGACCTACTGCTGGGATCTTCAGGTTCTTCAAAAACTGAAAAACACAAAGTTTTCAGCTTCTGTTTAACGTGGGGACGCCTGGGTGGCAGAGCTGGGTTAAGTGATTTCAGCTCAGGTCCTGATATCAGAGTTGTGGGATCGAGCCCTAAGTCAGGCTCTGCGCTCAGCAGAGAGTCTGCTTGGGAGTCTCTCTCTGTCTTCTTTTGCCCCTCCCCCGCTCACTCTCTCTAAAAAAGCCAAAACGAAACAAAACAAAAAACCACGAAAACAAAACAAAGCAAAAAACCTTCACAAAACAACACACCGAGAGAACAAACCATGTTCAAGTCCCTAGGCCCTCCCTGGGGGCTGCAGACTGCACACCACTCACGCTTCTGATTTTTCTGATCTCAGTATGTCTTCTGGCCTTCAACTTCCAAGCTTAAGAGACTTAGATGAAACGTCCCAGTGCCAGTTACTGCCAAGGGACAGCATCAGAAACACAGGCCCCCCCAATCTCACTAAGACTCTGGAGCACCACATCCGTGCCTGAGGCCCCGAGCTGGGGCCTGGAAAAGCCCCTCAGGACACTCCCATGTGCCTTTTGGTCAAGAACCCCTGTGCTGACCACAGGTTGCTACCACACAAACACCTGCGAGTCTGAGCAGCCCAGGCCCTGGCGAGCCACGTGCAGACCTGTCCCGTCCATATCATAGGAAGATGAAGCGGCGTCACCTGGAAACACCGGATCCAGACTGTAACCTCCAGAATGGTCCCATATATCAAAGCCCGTCAGGAAAAGGGGTCTGTCTCTGCTGTTCAGGAGTCAAGCTCCACATAACAAAACCAAATTACTACTTTCCGAAAGATTCCAGATGCTTCTTTAGCAGACCTTCCTTTCTCCTACAGGTTTTGCTAAGAAGCTCAATAGCCCTCCACCTGCGCTGCAGTAGAGACCTCAGAGGCTCCACCAGACCCCTGATCGCACCATCATGCCCTCAGCTCAGGAAACTTCGAGTACTTCATTTTAAGCTGCTTTAGCCTTTTTTTTTTCTTTTAATGTAGAAACCTATGTTTCTTGGTTCTGCATTTGAAGTTAATTTTAAGCAACCAAGTGGCAATACCAAGCATTTACTCAAACTATTCTGCTGACAAAAACTACTTTTGGTATCTAAAATGGTTTACTCAAGAATATTATCTCGAGGGGCAGCTAGCTGGCTCAGTTGGTGGAGCGTGCGACTCGATCTTGGGGTTTTGAGTTCAAGCCCCACGTTGGGTGTAGATTACTAAAAACAACAACAAAAGAATATTCTCTTGAAAGACACAGGCCAACGTTATACGAGGCTCATTCTTCCTTGCGGGAGTCCTATAGGAGGAATTCTCTAAAACACAGCCGCAGAAAAATGAGAGCAAGGCAAAAAGGTTATTGAGAACTGGTTAGCGCAACCCCTCCAATGCCAGGCACTCTGGGTGCTGCTACACGTCCTACGGGAGACACTCCAGACACAACGATCCATGAATGGATTTCACCAGAGGAGAAAAGTGTCACAGGAAATGAAAATCGAAGGTACTTCCTCGGACAGGCTGGCTTGACCTGTCAACGGACAGTGAGGACCCTTGAGCAGAGTTACCAGTACACAGTCCAGTTCCCACCATGGGACCTAATGCACAACACACACACTTCCAGTTTCCTGTAAAGTCGGGCCTATTCTTTATGGCTAAACATAAAAACAAAACTTTCCTCACCTAGAAGAAACCAAGGCTCAGAGGATTAAAGCGCTAGAGCTTGGCCTGAGGGAACTGCCTCCAAGTCCAGCAAAGCACTGCGAACAGAGCCCATCCCGACAGCCGAGAACCGTCATGGGTGAGATGCGTTCTGGCAGCCTCAGCCGAGGTCCTAATGCACAGAGGTAGAGGCAACAGATGGTTCTCGGCTGGACCCAGCCAGGGAGTCCTCTGACAATGCCCTGGGATTCTGGGCGGGAGGAACCCTACGGGCTGCCCCACCATGGCCTCACGGCCCACGTGGTGCCAGCAATGGCCCACCAAAGAGCCACCCAGGGACTTAGGATCAAAAGCCAGTCCTACACTTGCACGGGTATAAGGAGACCAGAAGAAACGCTAAGTCTCTGGAGAGGGTCTCAAGCCTGGAAACCAGGATCAAGAGGAGCCATCCCAGCCCTTCCAGGCACTTACACTTGGAGTGTCTGTCACACAGGGCTGAAGAGCGCATGTCACACAGTCGGACGGTCCCTTTGCTGCTGCTGTACACAAACACGTTGCACTGGTGCGGGTGGAACTCGGCCGCGGTGATCACCTCCGTCAGCTCCTCCATGTTCACAGGCTTGATGTCCACGATGTCTGGAGGCGCACAGTTAAGGCAGAGCGCTTGGCGGGCTTTAGTCCACATTCAAGCCAGCGTCAGGTGTGCGACACCCCGCAGCGAGGGGTGCGAGCAGACATGCACAGCAGGTGCTCCTGGTAAGAGAAGCCGCGTCCCCGCACTGCTCACACCACTGCCGCACGCCTCACCAGGCCTGGGCCCATGCACACGCACACAGTGCCTGCACCCTGCCGCGACCACGAACGTTCCATGGGAGGACGTCCCCAGCAAGATCAGACAAGCTCAATGATGTGAACAAGAAGAGGAAGCAAGCGGCCACCTGTGCAAAAACCCCATACCTATATCCATAAATTACACACACAAGAGAATTGCCAGATTCCAAGATTCTGCTTTTTCAAAAATCTTTTCTTGATCTGCCATCAAAAGCTTGTTCTAAGCAGTTAGAACAATGTTAACATTATAGCTTGCCAGACAGAGAAACCACGCAACTGAAGAAAACAAAGAAAGAGTAGAATCTCACTTTGGGTTGGGATGGAACAACAGGGTCCAGATGAACCGTTCCACTGAAACAAGCAAGAAACTTGACACCACAGCTCATCGCTGGACACGAGACAGCAAGGCCGTGGCCCTCGAGGGGCTGGAGGCACCTCGACAGACGGAGCAGCGCCCCCACTCACACTCATGCACGGCACAGTCTGCAAAGTTAACCATGAAGCAAGAAGCCCAAGGTGCGCGGAGGGGATGGCTGTCCGTGTGCAGACGGCACAGCTGAACGAGGGCAGGGAGCTGAGGCTCTGGGAGAAGCACGACCCGCTGCCAGAGCGCTCATGGCAGTGCACCAAAGGTACTTCTAAGGTAACAGTATTAATAAACACAAGCATGTATATGAAAGCATTGTGTGTTTCATAACCTAGGTCACAAGGAAGGGCATCTAAAACATGATTGTGGGACAAAATTTTGTAAAGGCAATGAAAAGCATGACTGCATACACAAATCATTTATGAATTACAGTTCTCACAAATCATGAAGAAAAAAGATGAGATTCCAACAGGAGAAAAATCACAAAGGACGGTAAAAAAAACTCACACTAATGGACACTAAGTTAACAAAAGATACTTAAACTCACCTATAATCAGAAAAATTAAAAATGGCCTTATTTTGGTTTTACTGATGTGAAAAATTATTTTAAAGAGGGTCCAGGGTTCTGCTAAAACAAATACTCCGAGGCAGTGGGAGCCCCCACGACTCCAAGCCTGCACGGAGGCTGGCGTCCTGCGGATTGAGGCTCACAGGTGCGCACGAGGGGAGGCAGCAGAGCAGCTCGGGGCACTGCGTCCACGGCTCCGAGTGCGTACAACCTGTCCTGCAGCTGCAAGCGGGAAAGATGGTTCTAATGCGTCAAGAAACAACAAGGCTAGCAGCAGGGGCTTTCTGACGTGCCCCAGGCCCTGTGCTACCAGCTCTGCAGCCACGGGCTCTCGGGTTCCACAGAACCGCAGGCGGCACCCCAGGAGTGCGGGTTTACGGAGGAAGAGAAAGACCTGGGCTGACACAGGGCCGTCATGTAATTAAGGTCTTCGAGCAGAACTCGGGCCGCTGACACCCCCGAGTGCTTGGAACTTCATTACCACCGTGTAGAGGATGAGCCCCATTGTTCTTAAACATAAACGTCCTAATACAGACATAAAAACTGCCTACAACGGCTATCTGTGGAGGGTGGGATGGCGGGGGGGGGGGGGAGAACCTCCTCTGAATTATCTGCATTTTGTTCACAATGGTCACATACTAATAAAAGAAAGAAGGATTTCAGATACGAGTTTAAGGAGAACAGAGAGAAAGCAGGGAGCATGAGCAGGAGCCCTGGAGACGGGAGGTTGTCGCCAAGCTGCACGAGGAGGAGACGCGGCAGGCGGCCGTCCGCACGCGCTGTGCCTCGGCGCCCAGGAGCACCTCACTGCCTGTAGCTGCGGGCGCCGCACGGATGGCGGAACGCCGTGCCCTCTTTCCATCAACTAAGTCATCACGTTAAGTAAATAACCACAGCAAGTACAAGGACATCAGATAATAAAAACCCAGTGTGAAATGCTAGAATTTAAAACACCACACACACTTCATTTCATGGATTTTCTTGAGTACAAGGGAACGCGCACACACGCCTAGCCCCGTCTTGGCCGCAGCCCAGGCTGCAGGACATCTGTCCCGAGGACATCTGTCCCACTCTGGCCGGCCCGACATCGCTCCCAAACGTGGGAAATCCTGACTGATGCCCCTCGATGTGCACATAAGACAGGGCTCTCATTTCTGGAGAAATCAACAACTTTTAACATGAGTGAATAACCAGTCACATGTAGATTTTCACCATAACAGTAACCGTACCGCTGTAGCCTTAAGAGATGAATGTTTGAATATTCCTTAACAGCTTGTTTTCTGTAACAGAATTCTCACATGATCAGTCACTCCTTGGGCTGTGTAACTAACCACCACTCTAACCAAAGTCAGTGTCTTCTATTCTAGTATCTACTAGCCACTTTTGTGTTGGGGGCAAGGGACCAGGCAACACTGAACCTCTAGATACACACTATTTAAAATCGTCTCTCATGAACCTGGGAGGGCAATGGACTTGAGGTCATTCTCATTTTGTAGAGAACTCTCCCCAAAGGTAGAAAGCAGTTTCCATTCTTAGGGACACGTTAAATCAGAGAACTTATACCACAGGCTACCATGCAGCAAGCCATGTTTCGAGGTGCTGAGATGCAGAAACACACATGCACTGAGAACTTCCCTGGAGAATAAACCTATGAACGATGCCAAGACAGCCATCTGATGAAGGATACTAAAACTTCTATCTGTGATTTCTAAATGCCATAGATTAATTCTCAGGTCATCTGCAGAAAGATATGTTTCATGATCACTATTTACTGAAATGGAATTTATATGATATGTGTGAGCATTTGCAAAAATTCGTCGTGGACTTGCTTCTACCATAAGATCCATGGGCTTCAATATTGGAACCTAAAAACGGAAGGAAATAGGAATTCAAAACAAAGATCACCAGAACATAAAATTACAACACTTACAGTAGAAGACAAAAAAGAACACATCTATATTCCCAGCGAGCTAAGAGTTTTGTACAGGCACTACCCCAAATAACCAGCGAGCAGAGCTGTGGAAACAGGCTGCGGACGGGGTCCTGTCCCTCCTTGTGGCAGAGCTGTTCTTGCTGAGGGGCAGGCTACACTGGCACGGAAACAAACCGCCTCCAGGGCACGGGTGCCTCTAATGGTGGGGTTTCACTTTCCTGTCTCTCCTGAAGCCATGGTGAGCTCATGGGACACAGTCAAGGACCACCCCCTGCCCCTCCTTGCAGCTGCTGCCTTGCAGAGTGACAGTCTGAGCCTCTTCAGTGCCCTGGTCTGCTGCTCAGTGCACATGCCGAGCGCTGCCACGGAGGGGTGCAAGGGCAGGAGAGCGCATGGGAGGGCCCCCAGAGAGCTGATGAGGTGCCACGCTCCATCTGCTGCTGGCCACGTGGGCTCGTGGGCCTGCAAGAGCTCATGCAGCGGTTCACTTCTCTGGCAGAGACAGCTTCTGGTATGTACAATACGCTTCAGTGAGAGTTTTTAAAAGGGACAGAAAAACCCATCTCTGTGCTGGGCGCTGCAGTCAGGGAACAGGACCTCTACACCACTGTGCAGACAGTGGAGTCAGCCCGGCAACAGGTGAGAGCAAGGGCCCGGCCTGAGCACACCTATACCACCACGAGAGGCAGGGGCGCCATCATGGGTGATCGCGTCCACACGTGAGAAAGGAGAACAAGAGTCCCAACATCACTGACATCTAGTGGGAAAGAAGGCAGGAGCTTAAAAGCAAGATGAAAAATTAACAGTAGTAACTCTATTACTTTTCTAATTAAGAGCCAAAGGGAGCACCTGGAAAGGCTAGGAGGAGAGCTCTCCTATTGACTTCTCTGCCCAAAAGTCTGCAAGAAATGAGCTTGGGGGAATACGCATAAATACTCCCTTCATTTTCAACCAGCTAGGTGCTGACCCCATGCTGGCGTTCTCTGGAGCGGAGGTGTCTGTCCTGCAGGGCGCAGGGTAGGCCACCACAGCCCTCCAACGAGTCTCTAAGGGATCAAAACACAGGACAACTCTCAGGCTAGGACAGAAAGGCTCCTCCTGACTAAGTCCCTTTTCTGGCACTAAAAATGTAAGAGGAAAACAATTTAAAAAGAGCAATATTTGACTCCTACTCAGATAAGTTTAGACAAATAGTCCTTTTTTAGCTTTGAGAGAGATAATTAAGAAATCAAATATGGGCCTAAAGTGACAAAGGTCAGTCATTTTACGGCCTGTGACTCTGAAATCACAATGTGTTCCTAACAGTCGTTTCTGATGAAACGACACCTCGGCCCAGTTAGATCAAGTGTATCTAGGTGACTGTATCAAAGAGCCTCTGAATAAAAGGGACACTGAGGCCACCAAGACCTGTGGCTTTTCCAGCAGGCATGTGAGCGTCTGGTGTGGCGAAGAAGGTTGACAGCGGGGGCAGTGTGCTCAGCGGGAGGCCGTGAAAGCGGCGGGGGACAGACAGAGACCAGGACACCCAAAGCCTCTTCCATTCGGCCACACTCGGAGTTTCACATGCAGCTGGAGTGCAAGAGCTACTGTCACTCCCTGTGGTTTATCACTGCCACATGGACGTGGAAGGGCCTGGTGGCAGAGAAACCACTGGTGTTCAGATCAAAACATCCTGGTTCAAATCAGCGTTTTAGAAACTCGCCCTGAGTCAATCACACTGCTTCTCCGTGTCAATACCCTGGCCGTGCGGTGACACTTTGGACGCGAAAGTCTACGAAGACACGGACCCACCTGCGCTTCGCCTCGGCAACGCTGCTGTCCCCCGCGCCCTGGGGAGCACTGCCCCCACACCTGGGCTGTGGCGGTCCTGTGCGCCCGCCATCCCAGCACCCCGCATGCACCCAGCACGCAGAGCTTAGGGAACAGAACCGAGACAGACCCCGGGTGCTCTGCGCCTAGCGTCACTATGGCCTCTGCAATGGGGTGTCCTTCCCCGGAGCACCTTCCTACTAACCCGCGACATGTTCACCAATGAGGTCTTCACTTGATAAACAATATTCATCAAAGCTTTTAAACCCCGTTAAAAAACAAACCAGCCAACCAACAATTTTCACAGGCACAGGACAATGGTTTTAGGGAACACCTCAGGACTAAGGCCAGTGCCGGTCTTCCTGCTCCTGTCCCATGCATGCCGAGTGTCCTGGCGCCCCACCTCCCTTCCCATATCTCATCTCGTCTCACACCCCCTCCAGGGTGTGCACCACTGAGCAGTGACCTGACTCAATTTCACAGATGTTACAGTGTGAACCAAATCTAGGTATCAGAACTGATGAAGATGGTCATGTCACAGGGTGCCCAGAGATACCAAAAGGGGAGTGAAGAATTAAGATTTAACAGTCAGAAAAGGAAGTGATGATACTATGGACTAACAGGCAACAAATTCTGAAAGCTTAGAGTGTGCCTCAGCTAACTGAGGCAACGCCACGAAAGCCCCGGCAGTGCGAGGCTTACCTCGCATCTGTAGTCCATGCGGCTTCATCCCGGGCACCATTCTGAGTCCCACAGGGACCTCACCACCAATGTGCTACTTACAACCTTTGTAGTGAAAGGCAGTGGATACACTGAGAAAGATCTGTTGTAGGATTAGACCTGAGTCTTTAGTATCATTAGATTTTCTAAAGTTACTGTGTGACTTCCTGCTTATGTGAAATACGAGGAATCCCAATTCTAACACACATATAAACTGATGACTACAATTACAAACAGCTTCCATGAATCGAAAAAGCAGATGTCACAGCAGTCCTACTCAGCGGTCTTCTCTAAACAGCTGACTTACGCACCGTCCCCGATTAACTAGGAAGAGAACTGGGTAGTTTGAGGAAAGGTAGCGTGTACCCGCAGTGCTGTAATTCGAAATGGGTCTCGAAGCCGTCCATCTTCATCTTTCAAGTTATAACCTTCTGCTCTTTTGTCCCGTTCGCTTATTTTCCATAATTTAATAGTTTTATCTGAAAATAAAAACCTTAGTGTCCATATTAAAAGAAAAACCATATCATGCACCACTATTAGTCGAGTATTATGTTAGAAAACTGTGTGGTTCTACGTTGATTGGTAAGCTACGAGACTCTGAAGGTTACTTTCCAGTTACGGATAAACCTGGACATTCTCTTTGCATAGTAAGTAAAGGTGTGGAAGTCTGCGCTGTAGGGCAATACCACACGGGGAGTATGTGTGCATGCTCACTTTTGTATACTTTAAGTTTTCAGCCTACCACCTGCTACCTAGCTAATAATTTACCTTCTCCCCAAAGTTTAAAGCAGAAACTACTTCTAGAAGGGGTTAAAGTAAAAAGTAAAGTAAAAACGTGCTACACCCAGCAAATTAAAAAAAAAAGCTCTTACCATTTGTAGAGAGTAGAAAATGCGCAGCATTCTGTTGTGGTAACCACCTAATTTTATTAATTTTTTCCTCAATTTCTAGACTTTTCAAATAGTCAAACTCTGGTTCATGACTTTGAAAGGTACTGTAAACATTATATTCTCCCCTAGAGTGAGGGCGACTTTTGTTCTGCAAGGAAACATGAGCTGGGTTAATGAACAACGCACAGTGCAAAGAAAAATGCAGTGTACTACCAATTTGAATACAAAACGACCACACACATTTTAAAAGTAAAAGAAATCCTGGGTCAAAAATTATCACACAGAGGACACTCCGAATTAATTTACTTGGAAAAAACCAGTAACAGACGATTTCGCAGACCTTCTCTCCTGCTCCCGGGCGTGCACTCCCGGGCAGGGTCTGCGGGATCAGACTGCTGCCTGCACAGGACGAGGCTCCATCACGTATGTGCGTTTTCTGGAGGGGCTGGTGGGCCCACGGAGGGGGCAGCACCGTGCAGCGTGGCGCTGAGTGGTCTGCGCCGAGCCCTGAAACAGCCCGCCAAGACAACACTCGCACCCCCGCCCCCGGAGGAGGATGACTGAACGGCACTTAGGCGGTGACCAGCACCAGCAGAGGACCCCCCTGTGATGGAATTTTTAACACACGTAAAACAATTCTATATGTTAAAGTAAAAGTAGAAAAACACACTTGGGAAGATGCATGATGTCTTCAAAATAATAACCAACTCTGGGAAGGCAGGCAGCATGAGAAGGTAGATTTGGGAACAAAGCTGGAAGACAAAATAGGGAGAGCACAACGGGCGCCTCATCTACCTGCCGAGGGCTTGCTTTTCTTTTAGGAAAGAGGAAAACCTAGGTGGTGGGTTCGTAAATGTATGTATATTAGTCTCTGAAATCTTCTGTATCCAAAATGACATTTTCTATGAAACAGTAAAAATGTTACATAACTAAAAACCAAGGACACCAAGATTTTGTTTAATTCTTGCTATATAATCAGCATCTAAAATCTTACATTTTTATACTTTAGGCTACGTGTCAAGGAAATTGAAAGAAACAGAAGAACATTTATGTCTAGATTTCTTTGTATTTCTGAATTAAGATTACCTATTATGAGAAAACTTCCCCCCAGCTCCCTGAAACTCTCTACCACATGGCTTTTTATGGGGCCACACACTCCTGGAAACCATGCATGGACCCCAGGATGTAGGACATGGTTTCCACGTCTGACTGTGTTAGGTGCATTAACTCTTTCTTCAGGCCCGCACCCCTCTCTACGAGAAGGCAGAATACACCAGCAGATGGTCTACCTTGCTAATGAGAAAGAAACTGAAATCTTTAAAAAAGAACAATCTGTGGCATCAATGAGTGTTTCTGTGAGAACTATGAGAAAACAGAATATTAACAACTATATGTGGCACCCACCCCACGTGTCACCTGCCCTTCCCGGCCACGCTCCCCAAGAACCACAACAGACGCTCCCCATGCTACAGGCCCGTCTTCCTGTTGTGAACTGAGCCAACCCCCACCCCAACACCTAAAACCTCCATCCAACAGACTGAGGCCCCGCGTCAGCCTCTGAGGACCCCCAGGCAGTGAGTGGTCTCCACGCTCTGTCCAGGGAGAGGTGAGAACAGATAAGGCGAGAGGAAGGGCCTCGAGGAAGACCTGCTTGCCCATGGCAGCTCGGTCCCGAGGAGAGAGCAGAGCCAGGGCCACCGAGGCTGCCAGCCTGAGGCACTGGGAACAGAATGGGCAAGGACAGGGAGATGGTGGAAGGTGCATTTTGGTTTCAGACACACTGAGTGCTGGTGTCAGAACTACTCAAATCGAGTAATTTGCACGATGAACTGCAGAGCGGAACCACGTCCCTAAACTCAGCTCACCTCAGACTGACAACGTTGGGCTTCCCGAAACAGAGGGCTCTGCCACTAAGAAGAAAAAAAGCGCGAACGTCACACTGCTCACTGTGGTCCCTGCCTTGCGTCACGTGCACACCCCAAACTTTCCGATGGCTCCCTCTCGCCCCAATCCCCTGGCCTGAAACCCACGCCACCTTCCGCAGCCCAGCACGGCCCTGCGCTGTCCTCACACCTTGTGCTTCCCACAGGCCTGCGCCCTGGGGCTCCGCGGGGGGGGGCAGTGGTTGCTGAACTGAGAGCACTGGAAAAACCCGAGTCCATGGTGAGGGTTATATATGGCAACCACCAACATACTTTAAAAGCAGATGGAATATGAAGGCTCTTTTTATGTTAATGAAAACATGAAGGAAAAAATGGGGTAAAAAGTTGCCCGGGGTTTATTAAGTTGCAGATGGCCGGGTTTATCAAATTTAAACAATGTCGACAACCCGCCGCTGTATGAATCTGCTGCTACACATTATTAACCATGATTTAATACATCTTAACTAAACCTTTCATGTTACAGGTTCTCAAAATTGTGACGCCCAACGTATTTTGTAACACGATGCTCAAGTCTTACTATAATCTATCTCACATTTGAAGCGAGTATTTTTTAGGTTTAAATGAGTCACAAAAATGAGAAAAATTCCATTTTCTATAAGAATATCATTAAAATGGCAAACTTTAAGGAGCTAAAAGTGAACTCTTAAATTTAAGACAGCTATGACTCAGCAATCTGCTAAATAATCCGTCTACTAAAAGTAATAAACATAGTTCTTTTTAAGCAGCACCATGTAATAATCTACCTCTGGGACAGAATGCAAAATTATAAACTTATCAAATCATCTGTGAAGATCTAGAGACACTAATGACAATATACGTAATATCCACAAAAGAATTCTCACCATCTCAAACCAGAAAAAATAGGATTAAAAAAGTTTTTAAATCTACGTGGACATAATCAAAATTAGAGCTGCAATAGGTATATCTGAACGATGAGATGTTGGCGTTCCCTAAATCTCTTCCCACTGACCAACGCAATCCTTCACTTCGACTGGGGGGCCCCAGGGCCCACCCTCCACACATGCCCCCGAGCGCCCCTCTCTGGCACGGCAGGGCTGACGTTCGCTGCCACGTAGATCTACTGGAAGGGAACAAGGGCCCACTAGATGCCATACCAAAGTTTTACCACAAAAATAGAGAGACTAGAATCCGGAGATGGGAAAGTAACTGCCCACGGACCTGCCTGGACACAGACGAGGGGCCCTGTGTGTGAAGCTGTCAGTACCCCAGGCTGGGCCGCGCCGTGGTTCTTGCCCAGAATACGTGCACAACAGACCAGCAGAGCAACAGGCTGTCTTGCTTCCTTCCTCAGCGCTTGTCACGAACTCTAATGAGGCTCCCCAAAAATAAGGGGGGCTGGCAAGGCCTGGTTCTACCTCCCATTCTCCTCTTATGCATAACTGAAAAAGACAGGTTTCTCTGCCCTTTTCCCCCAAAAGAGGGAGTGACCTACAAAACGGCTCATGAGTGCGAGTCATCTGTGGGGCCCGTTCTGAGGACTCCTTCCTCTCAGCACTGACAGTGGGGCCCTCAGGGGGCATGGAAGAAGCAGGCTGCTCACCTCTGACTGAGGAGGGAGAGAGAATTCATGGCCCCCCAGTACACACAGACTCTTCCCCAGGGGCCATTCAGAGCACACTGCAGTGCTGGACAACAGGGCTGGGGGCCAGCACCTCCAGGGCTGCTGAAGTGATTCTCACCCACAGCCACTTTAATTAATTACAAGATGAAAGCAGAGAGATGCAGCACTCCACCACCCCACATCCTTCATCTGGTCCTCACGACAGCCTGTGGGTGGGGCAAGGACTCTCCTCTCCCGAAGAAGGGCACAGGGGACTCCATCGGAGCTCAGTGGTTGGACGTCAGTGGGCAGAAACACAGATCTTCTTGCTCACCCAAAATAAGCAGCTTCTATACGGTTAATGTGACGTAACCGAATCTAAGTGAAGTCAGAGGCTGAGAAAGTGCCTGTGTTTCCCTCCTTCCAAGTGACATGAGAAAAGCTGGCTTTCATTTGGCTCGTGCACTGACCTCTTGTTCCCGCTGAAAAATAACAACTCTGCCGCCCTTGTCTCCCGTTGCAAGAAGATCTCCAGAGTAATTAAATTCAACAGTTGAGATGATGTCAGCTGTCAATAAAATACAGAAGCAATTTACCAGATTATGATTTTGAAAGGAGTCATAATATCAAAGGTCAATAAAAAAGGTTCAAAAGACAGACAGACACATATAAAACTTTCTCCCTGGATAAAGCAAAATCTTCATGGGAAACTTGTCTTTACCAAGCAGCCAATTCCAGTTCTGGCACCCAGAGCCCAAGAGCACATATGGGCTTATAGGTTTTGCTCAGTGGATTGAATGCTTGGTCCCTAGGGCACCAGGATTTATTTAGACTGCATTGTCTTGATATAAAGATATCGAGTAAAAATTTAGAAAATTAATTTTGCAAAGACAAAACAAAAAAATTGGTCCTAGAAGACTGTTGTCTGATTTTATGATGCATGCCTAATATTAACTTATAAATCTGATTCTTACATGACATTAACAGATGTTTTAATATTCTTTGCAATAACTTTTGCTGGCTTCTGTACAAAATAATATTATACACAGTACAAACTCAATTTCATTGACTAGATACAGCCATTACCATCGATAATGACATCATCATTACCTAATGAGACACTGCTGTTGGACATCTGAGATTTCTGACACTAAGCACACAAAGATCTTGGCCATCAGCTCACTACGGCTAAAGACCATAGGGTATAACAAAGCCAACTGCAGGAAAAGTCCTTAGGTGTTCTCAGGCTAAGGTCTCGAGGGAACAGATCGGAATTCATGAAATGGACTCCTGGATCAAGAAAAAGTTTTAGAAAAGACAGTTTTCTCCTGCTTGAGGGCACAGAGTGCGGGCTGAATCAGCACAAGGACGTGGGTTTAGTCCCGCATGGGCTGCTGTCAGCCTGCTCCATCCAGCACAGGGACTCTTCACCTTCGTCAGCTGCCCAGACAATCTCATCTCTGGCTGCTGGAAGGGAGAGGACAGGATCCGTACAAACGCATCCCAGCTGGTGGAGCACCAACACAAAGGGCCTGTCCGACTGGCAGATGGGGGTGCGTGCTCCGCACACACAGGGCCCCACGGAAGAAGCAGGAGTATTCAGACCAATACTGCTACACAGCTCCTGGAACAGCTTGTCCAATACTCGGAAACAGACCCCAATACTGAAAGTACTTGAAAAACTCCCCTCGCCACTCCCGAAACTGCCATAATGTAATACAACTCTTAAAGGTGTGCACATTTTAGTCAAATAGTTGTTAACACAGGACTTCCTGCGATACAAGCTCTCACCTGCACTGTGCACGACTTTTTAATTTTCTAAAGCTTTTGTTTGAGAGAGAGAGAGAGAGAGAGACAGCAGGAGAAGGGGGAGGGGCAGAGGGAGAAGCAGACTCCCCGCCCAGCAGGGAGCCCAAGGATCATGACCTGAACCCAAGGCAGCCGCGTAACCGACTGAGCCACCCAGGTGTCCCCTGTGTACGACTTTTAAACACACACTGAATTGTTTTGCCTGGGATGTCTTTCCTTTCCTTTTTTTTTTAAGAAACAAAAACAAAAACACCCCTTCAGTTACAGCTGTGAAAAGGATTAGGCTTCTTGTTAGAAGTGCCACTTTTCAAATTAAATTACTCAAAATAAACCAATTTGTTTAAATGAAATATTCTGTATTGGACTAAATGGGACTAAGTCTCTGTCATCCATACCCAGGGGGTGTACGGTATTATATAATTAATGGCATTCTAGCTCTGTCAGTGATTTTTAAACTTAATTAAAAAAGACTGAATCTTTTAAAAGAGAAACTCCCATGACTACCACTGGTGAGAAATTATTGTCATTAAGCTGCGCAAATATGTATGAACCTAAAATTAGAAAATGTTGTCCACAGAGTTTAGAAGAGCTCTAAAGTCAAAATAAATATACAAACTAAATACCAACGAAATTTAAATTACCAACATGAGTTTAATGTGATGGCCATTACTTTACAAAACTGGTACCATGCTAAAGCGAAAATATGGTACTGACTGAGGGCACCCAGTGGGGCCTTTACACCTGCCATGGACCGCACAAGGGCTCAGGCACACCGCCCCGGCTGTGTGAGCAGCCAGAGGCCCCTGTGCAGGGCCCACGTCAGCACCTGCTGGCCACGGGCGGCGACACCGTATTTGTGCAGTGGCCGCAAGGCTCCCGTGCGCTAGTGTGCCGTCTGCGCCAAGGCACTCTGCTGGGAGGGGTCCTTGGGCTGATGCAGAACTTACTTAGTAAATGTCTAAGTCAGATTCCGAAACCATGACACACGCCTGGTAGCCCCTAAGAACCCAGCTCAGACTTTCTGTCAAGTGTGGTCCACTGTGGGCACGGGCCTTTCCCTCCCACCACCACGAAGGTGCCGAAGAGAGCTGGAAAGGTGTCCGTCCACAAAGCAACAATGGTGGGCAGGATTTGCCGCGCAGATGACAGCAAGGGGCGGAGGCATGGTAGGTGACAGTCTAAGCGGGGGCGATGTCTCAACCTGCCGAGGGCTTCGGCCAGGCTACACACCAGGTGCTGGGCATGGAGATGGCACAAGGTCAGTTTCCCAAACTGCTGGGTCCCCAAGCTTGTCCCCATCCTGCCAGGTGGGAACACACAGTTACTCCCCCTTCCTGTTTCCCAAACGCCAGCTGCCACGAGTGAAGGATTCCCACCATCTCCAGGGCTCCTCTCCGAAATGATAAATCTCTGGTGAAAAGGCCTCAAGATTCAAACACTTGGGGTCCTTAAAGAAATGACCAACCGGGATGCCTGGGTGGCTCAGTCATTAAGCGTCTGCCTTCGGCTCAGGTCATGATCCCAGGGCCCTGGGATCGAGTCCCACATCAGGCTCCTTGCTGAGCAAGGAGCCTACTTCTCCCTCTGCCTGCCTCTCTCTCTCTCTGATAAATAAATAAAATCTTAGGAAAAAAAAAAAAATATATATAAAAAAAAAGAAATGACCAACCACAGGGAAGCCCTCCAGCTGGAAAGCCCACCTGCTCATGGAACTGCCTGCTGGCTCCAAAGTGGCTGCATCTTAGACATGAACCAATCACTCAGGGTCTGCAGACAGGTGAGAGAAAACACCAAAACAAGGAAGTTGGAGGAAAGAGGGACAGTGCATCAACAAAATGTCAAAGAAACGACAATTAATGTCCTCAGGGAGCTAATGCCTGCCAACAGGAATGACCTCAGCAATGTTGGCTGGGCGCCTGCCAGGGGCCTGGTGCTGTTCTAACGGAGCACGGCCCTGCGTGAAGCTAGCAAACCTCCAGCAGCCTAGGAAGCTGGGCTCCTGTCATCCCTGTCTGAGGGAGAAGCAGGCCCTGGGCACGGTATCCAGCTCACCCAGGTGGCAGCCTCAGCCTGTCGTCATGGCACAGGCTGCCAGCCACTTCATCCAGCGGCTCCCTGGAGGATGGGCTGCATGCTACTACAGAGAAAGGAAAAACAAGGATGTGCGCTTTGGAATTCAAATGGCAATAATTTCAAAACTCAACACGTCTTCCCAAGGGCAGAACAAAAGACAGAGAGATGGATAAGAGGAGAGGAAAGATGATCAGAGGGTTGGGATAGAAGCTCTGCAGAGACGAGAGAAAGGAAGTGACGCAAACTTCAGATGACTAAGATGATTGTGTCCCAGGGCAGGGGCACAGGGGCCTCCAGGCCGCGCCTGGCCCTGGAGCAGACCCTCTCCTACAGTGCCTCACTAAGAAAACTCCAACACCGAGGATAAAGGGAGGTTCTAAAACTTTCCAGAGAAAACAAACAGGTCACATACCAAAGGAATCAGATGGCAACAGACAGGACGCAGGAAAACGGTGGCTGGGATACCTACCATCCTCAAAATTCCGAGAACAAATAATTTTCAACCCGTAATTCTACACCTAGCCAAATTTTCAATTGCGTTTAAAAGGGAGAATAAAGATGTTTTCAAACGTGAAAAAAAAAAAAAAAGGCACAAACCACACAACTAAAACCCTGTTCTCAGCAAACCACTGTAAGGTGCAATTTGGCAAAATGAAAATTAACCAAGGGAAAGGAAGATGGGGGACCTGACATGCCCACGCTGGTGAAGACAGGATGGGAGCCAATGGCTCTGGACCAGCAGTCCCGGCTGGGGGGACGACGTCGGGGGGCGGGAGGGCCAGAGGGACGGCGCCCACTGTGTCTGGGACCCGCAGGGCGAGGCATGTAGCACGGCTGCCACAGTGTCTCTTCACACGCACCAGACAGAGAACCGAGCATGTGGAGCCACCAGGCAATCGTTAGCTCTGGGGAAAATGAAATTTGTATGAAAAAGAAAATGTATACTTCAGTTCGGTAACGAACCATCAGCATAGTGCAGAGGGAACGGAGACTCCCGACAGAATCCTCTCAACTCTTTCTTTCCTTTCGTGGGTTTTTTTTTTTTTTTTTTTCCGGGGGGGGGGTGCATGTGGGTGGAAGGTGATGTTAGCAAAAAAAGCTAAATCATCAGTTACCATAACGGGAAGTCAGGACTTACTGTTCAAATAAAACCAGGAAATCGGAAGTTAGCGGCATAAGACATTACTCAGGGGCTGCTGAGGATGCTTCATGGCTGGGAGGGGGCAGGTGATAAGAGGCGCTGGATCTAAGAGGGCGTACTGCATGCGACAGAAGGAAGCAGGAACAAGACAGGGTGGGGGAGGGGGCCCGGAGGGAAAACGTCCTCGACAAGGCATTAAAAGATGGAGAACAAAAAGTCACGTTCACGTGCCCACGGCATAGCATAGCTGAGGGGGGCTGATGACACAGGAGAGCTGGTTTAGCAGCCAGGTGGGTGCAGGGGCACCTGTACTGGGGGGTGTGTGTTGGGGGGTGGCCAGGGAGTGCACAGCACAGGAGAGCCATGAGTGGACCTGGGCTTGACAAGTGGTCTCATGAGATGGCAGCTCTTCTTTCTAGGGGGCAGGAGAGAAGATTCATCTGCTCAGAGCACGGGTGATGTGGGGGGGCGAGTGAAGGAAGTGTTCTTGGAACAGGAGGGACCCACACCAGAGAAATGCAGGGTTGTGTCACGGTATCACTGCC